TCCAAAATTTTATCCAGACCTAACACAGCTCGGTCATTGAAAAAAAATACAGTTTTGATAAAATTATAGAACAATTATTTTTCTTTCAATTTTTTTGAGGTGTAGAATTCCACACTTCAAAAATTTTGAAGTATGGAGTGACCAATAAACTCAACTATGGTTCCGCCGACTGTGCCATTGAGAGCTATAACAAATGTAATTAGGAAAATTTCGCTGTCTCCCTTAAATTCGGAAATATTCCTCAAAAACTCAACTGGGAGATAAGTCGAGTTAAACCGTTTTACCTCTTCGCTACTGAATTTTAAAAGGACCAAAAAATAAATTATTAATTACCAATTGTCTATTTCTCCTTTCACTTTACAATTTCAAGTAGGGAATTAGTGAAGTAATATTTTTTGGAAATTTTTGTGGGTTTTTTTCAACAACTTTCGCAAATGTTGAGATAAATGGATTTGAATCAGTGAAAAGATTGAAAATGAACGGAAAAAACAGAAAATCGTTACGCAAAAGTGATCTACATACATTTCGGTAGTCGAACAGCTGTGACCACATGGTCCACCTCCTCTGTGATCCGACTTTTAAGAGCTCGTTAATACGATCGTCTTACATGTTGCCAACAGTTAATATTAGTTTAAAGATTGTTTTTGTAACGTACACCACTCCGGACATCCTCCTGCCTCGATAACCCTTGGAGCTCGTCGTCTCATTGTTATTCTTCTTCTTTAATGTACCGCCGCGCGCACTCTACTCTCAATTTTTTCCTCATTTTTTCCCTCTTTCTGGAGTCTTTGCTCTGCAGTCGCTCTTATTTTCACAATTTTTTGCCCCTTTGAGTTGATGGGCACAACTGTATGCCTCACTCTGGGTCCTTCCGTGTTCGTGGGTGGGTATAATTTTCGCTTCAATTATTCCACTTGATGAAAACTTGGAGAAATTGATAAATTCAAATTTGGACTTTCTTCACTGTCACCACATCCTCCAAATTGCACAATTGTCATCTCAGACGGAGAGAAAAATTTCGTAATGTGTGAACTATTTTTACTTGAGAGATGTAAATTATTTTCAATGACTTAAGAACGTACTACACCCTTTCGGCCAAAATTCACGATTTTTTTCATTTTTCTGGCAAATAATTGATCGAATTAACGCGAAATAATATGCCGTTTTTGCATTTTATCATTATTGACTGACTCACGAAGTTTCATGTTAGTGCAATCATTTTCCTGCAGTTTTTCTAAAGTTTTGTGAATTTCCGAAAAGTTTTAGAAAAAACGCAGGAAAATCATTGCACGATCATCAACAATTTACCAGAAAAATTCAAAAAACGTGAATTTTGGCGAAAAGGGTGTAATACATCCTTAAGGCATCTTCCCTAGAACTCGATTTTTCCATCTTATGAGAAAACGTTTCTTACGATGTGCTTAAAAAACGAATCTGTGGTAGATTCATAAATTCCGAATACGATGAATTTTTTTGTAAAATTTTGTAGCACATAGTTTCTGCGATATTAAAAATTTTCGAAAAAATGAAAAATTCGTGAAATCATTTCTTATTTGAACCCATCGAAAAACGACAAAAAATTGTCGAATCTCAGTCGAGAACTGATCGAACGAATCAGTGGTAGATTCATATATAAATTTCGAATACGATGAGTTTTTTTGTAAAATTTTGTAGCACATAGTTTCCGCGATATTAAAAATTTTCTAAAAAATGGAAATTGCGTGAAATCATTTCTTATTTGAACCCATCAAAAAACAACAAAAAATTGTCGAATCTCGGTCGAGAACTGAACGAACGAATCTGTGGTAGATTCATATATAAATTTCAAATACGATGAATTTTTTTGTAAAATTTTAGCACATAGTTTCCGCGATATTAAAAATTTTCTAAAAAATGGAAATTGCGTGAAATCATTTCTTATTTGAACCCATCGAAAAATGACATAAAATTGACGAATCTCAGTTGAGAACTGACCGAACGAATCTGTGGTAGATTCATAAATTTCGAATGGGATAATTTTTTTTGTAAAATTTGTAATACATAGTTTCTGCGATATTAAACTCTAAAAAATGGAAATTTCGTGAAAGCATTTCTTATTTGAACCCATCGAAAAACGACAAAAAATTGTCGAATCTCAGTCGAGAACTGAACGAACGAATCTGTGGTAGATTCATATATAAATTTCAAATACGATGAATTTTTTTGTAAAATTTTAGCACATAGTTTCCGCGATATTAAAAATTTTCTAAAAAATGGAAATTGCGTGAAATCATTTCTTATTTGAACCCATCGAAAACCGACAAAAAATTGTCGAATCTCAGTCGAGAACTTCTTTCCAATGAATACATTTGAACATGTCACTTTCGGGTTCTTCCCCACTGGTGGAAGAGGCAGAAGCACAGGGGCGGTCAGAGTTTAATAATATCAATGCGAAGTATGAGAAGAATCCCACCCTAATGAGCCCGGAACCAAGAAGTGTCAGTTTGAGAAAAGAACATGTGAATTTTTCTTCGTGTTATTTTTTCACTTTTTCAATTTTGTTAACATCTTCGTCAGTTCATGTAGGTGTCACAGCAAATATGCTGACAGGCCATTCACCATCCTCACGGGCTTGGTGAAGTGTGACCAAAGTGATGTTACATCGCTTCTTCACTAAAAGCCCATGGGAGGCTATTATTAAATTTTTGGTTTCAGCTCCAACAGTAGCATATCAATAACAGAACTCGAGGAACTATTTCTCTGTCGATATCAATAAATATAAACAATTGAGGTATTTTCTTCATTAACGAAGATACTACTTTTCGATGAATTATTCCATGAGTTTTTCTCAGGAAATTTTATCCAACTGGATTCCATGTATTCTTAAATATGTTTAATTCCCACACGTAATGAGTGATTTCATCATAGACTATCGAACGAAATTTTCCATAAGTGCAATAAATCAGTGAATCCCTGCCATTTTAAGCTAAAAATTACAATGACGGATAAATAATGATTTAGTCAATCAAATTGAGTTGATAGAAAGGTATATGACGTATAACAATCTCAAGTCAACTTCCCTCCAAAATAAAGTTTCCCAAAATATCTCTGACTCTGAGAAATTTATCAGTATTTTCATAACGACCTTTTCCGCAGAGTAAAATGAGAGCGACGAAGAATGCCCTCATAATAATTGTACGCGGGAACATCAATTTTCCTTTCCGTATGTTAGAATTGTCGAACGGGTTAATTTAGTATTTAATCACAAAACACTTCTACTGAACACTAAAGTTATTTATTCTCTTAAATTTAGGCAAATTTATCCCATGATTGATGTGAGACTAAAGAACATGAAACTGATTAACCGGACTTGGTGAACATTATTTTGGTCCGACGAAAAATAAAAATGGACTGCACTTAAGGGTGCCAAGTGAATTTGAAAAAAGATTCAAAAAAATTTTTTTCTGCCCTCCGGCCGGAAAGCGTCAACTTCCTGGCCGCTGCGCTAAACGAAGTTGCCACTTTCCGGCTACGTCGAGCAGAAAAATAGTATACACACCTTGGCCAGTAAATAAGAAAGCCTCAGATCACATGTTTGTTGACCTCGGCTTCGCCTCGGCCGACAATTACATGTGATCTGAGACATTCCTTACTTTACTGGCCAAGGTGTGTAATCTACTATTTCTTTCCCTCCATCATTGGAGAAATATGTATTCATCCATCCGACGAAATTTCAAACCCGCAACCGGAACTAGACATCGAGAAAATAAATGCGGAAAATCCTCTCGTTCGCGTGACGGGGGGTTGAAATATCTCTCTTATTCACCCCGGTACCCTATTGTTTTTTGTCGCCATCACATTGAACACATATCCCCATATCTTCAAATTTTTTCAAATTTTTCTTGCGTTCCCAGGGGGTTGAAAGGTTCAATTTAATCAAAACTCCATAAGAGGCGGTGTATAAGACTGATTTTGTTTATTTAATTTCTCGATATCCATAAGTTCTAAAATTTTAAAATTGTCACCGATGTTCACCATCTGTCTAATACTATTAATTAAAAAAATTATAACTTTGTTGGTGAATGTCAATTTTCAAGGTCATCGCCAAATTCACTTGGCACCCTTAACTCTAGTCTGGTCACCTGACGGGAAAATGCGACTTTAGTCATCTTCACGGGAGAGTGCCGCCGTGTTATTTAGGCTCCAGCGTTGCCGAATCCACTCTACACTTCCCGGGCGCGTTTAGCGAGTTCCTAGCAACGTCGCGCAACAGGCAATTTCATTTAACACGGGAAAAAATTGTTCACCTGTTGGAAATAATTTGTTTTCTCCCAGAATTAAGGATACAATATTGAAAAAAAAATACTAGAATTTTCCAGACACTTCAATTGATGAATTCAATTTTTCTCAAATGTTTCCGGTCAACCAGTCGATGGCAAGGTGAATAAAACGACGTGTTGAGGCAATTCCCTCGCATGGTGACCAGTCTAGGGTTAAAAAATGACAGGGTACCGACAGTGTTACCAGATTGTGACGTCACCCCATTTAAAATTGTACAGGTTTTGGCTATAAATCGCCAAAATCTGGCAACCCTGGGTACCGATGTGTACCCTCTCGCCATTGAGATTGGAACTAGTTAGATTTTTTTTTCGTCACTAGGCTTGATAAATCGCGATAAACCTTCGCTCGGTTAAATCGCGGCTAAATCGCGCTCATATATTGAATAATGATTCAATTTTTTCGACCATGTAAAGGGGTTTGGTGCTCTATAGACCTTAATGAGATCATCACCCTGGATTGGTCCAGCCATCAAAGCTGGCGTGGCTAATTAAACTCCACAGGCCAATGGTAACGTTCTCGTCCTAAAAATACTCACATCTCACTTGTAGGTGGGGATTAACTATTCCCTAAGGAAACAATGTCTCACATGAGTCTCGTCAGTTCACATTAACTCGAAACTCGTAACTTTTCTCAACTTCGCAACTGCCTCCACCCACGTAGGATTCGCAAACAATCAGAACATCTCAATTGAAATTCAAAAGCAAAAAAATCGTAAAAATTCGTGAATTTTATTTTTCACAATTAAATTTGCAAAAGATTTAAATGGATCGGAATGCCGATGATTTTTCGATGTCGCGGGGCTCGGAGCAGCGCCTGAGAAGCCCCAAATGCGCGAGATGCCGAAATCACGGGATAATTTCGGGATTGAAAGGACATAAGCGGTCGTGTGCGTGGAAGGACTGTCGTTGTGCGTGTTGTCTTCTTGTTGTGGAGAGGCAGAGGGTGATGGCAGCTCAGGTGGCCCTGCGGAGGCAGCAGCAGGCGCAAGGAGCAATCGGATGTGATGGGATGGGGCAGGACGAGGCTTATCAGCGGCCGGAGGTGTCCACTTCACCGGAGAGCTCCGCCGCTTATCAGAGGAGATTGAGAAACTTTCAGAGGCATCATCAGCTCCAGGTGACACAGACCAGGATCAGTGTCACACAGAATTTTCAGAGCCTGGGGAGTCCCCATATCTCGACTCCTCGTAAGTTGCTATTTCACACGGAGAGAAATATTCAATAAAAATTTTTGGGGGTTTAATGATGAGGAAGTTGAGAGAATGGTGATGTTGGCCTGTGGTAATGTTGATTTTCTGATGATCTATTTGGAATTTTTAGACTGATTAAAGTAGCTCTACCCTTACGGTAAATTCAAAGATTATTGAAACCTGCAAAAAAATTGCAGAAAACTCGATTAGATTCGGAATTCCAATTTTTTTTTNAATTATCGTTTGGGTGTTTCAAAGAAGAAATGTTTAAAAATTAGGATTTGACCCAGTGTCTTATGTGAAAATCAACATTTCCATTGTAATCAAAGATTACAATCTGATTTTTTTTCATTAAATGTGAAAAAATCAAGAATTTTTTTGACACATAAAAAATAATCCACGGTTTTGCAAACAAGTTTTATTATTAATTTATAAGAGGGAAATGTTTGAAAAAGTATCAATATTTTGCGAAATTTAATTTAGATAATACTGACCGGGTATGAATTTTTTCAAATTTTTTCCATGCAATTTAGTTGAAAAATTTAAAAACGGAAAATATCCAAAAGTACAGCGTAGCCCGGCCGAAGGGTAGAGCTACTTTAAAGTGCCCTGATGAAGAGCTCTTAGGGTGCTCGAAACGTCGCCATGAAAGAATTAGTTTTTTTGACACACGGAGAGAAATATTCAATAAAAATTACGTATCTTTTCCATAATTCTGGAGCGAAATGTGGTTGTAGGAAATTTTACGGAACTGAAAAATTACGATACCGTCACTCAAATTTTCTGAGTCGATTCCGTAATCGGTGAGTGAATTGCGAGTTCCGTAATTTTTACGAAACATTTCTCTCCGTGCAGTTTAACTATTGATCAGCGCGGAATTCAACTTCCCACATTCTTCAATAAATTCAACTGTCAAATTGAATTATGGATAATGATTGACTCTGGAATGTAAACAACAGCGCCCCGTAGATACTAAAATGTTGTTAGTGTTAAGATACACAAATGCGACTCAAATATAGACTTTACGAGGTTTTCATTTACAGTTGTACCCACCTTTTGTATTCCCTCACTCGTACTAATGTAAATATATAAGTTACACCTCCTTTCACGCTGTCAAAATAAACCCATCTCACTGTTGGAACATATTTTTCATTTCAGTCATTCCAAATGGACACCTACTTGGCCTATCGTGTGTCGAGAGTGAGGAAAAAAAAACTCCGAGTGCCACCGTTGATCTTCAAACGTTCTATCCATCCTACGTTACTCATCCCGCCTTACCCTGGATCAACTATTTTCCAGAGACCAATGCGGAATTTAATAGTTCAGGTTTTCGCTCTCCTGATCATTTTGATGAACATTCGGATAGTCATTCCGATGATAACACGAAAAAACCGAGGATTTCCTTCAGCGTTGAGTCAATAATTGGTACAAAATGAATTAAAATACTTATACTTAATACTTATATTTTATAATAAAATTAAAAAGTCAATAAAAAAATTATAAATAAAATTGGAAATAAAAAAATCATGAGGACTTGACGAGGATTTCCCTGGAAGTTGAAACGTTGGGACAATTTAGACTTCGAGAGATTTCTTCACGTCATTAATTTATACTAAAATTGCTGAGGACCGCTGAGGCCATAACTTACAACATCAAAAAATCATGAAAAAATAATGACTTTGATTGAATGAAGCAATTGTGTAGAATAAATTGAAGACAATTAATTAATCAATTCAATAAATAGGTATTGATATTCGAATTTAATGGAGAGTGAATGAAAAAAACATGTTTTTTGTTTCCCCTTTGCATTTTATTTTTTTTTTAATTTATAAAAAATTCTTTTACACTGTGAATACTCTCATTACCGCTAATACAGCGTGCCAATCATGCATTGTATTAAATATTCAACTCTGTCTTCCATTTTTTCAAAGTTAAACTTCACTTTTTTATCAAATGAACTATCAGTAACAGTGATAAACTTATTTAGTGTAAAAACAGTAACTTCTTGGAGTTTTAATCATCCTTTTGTACCTAAGTTTATTCATAATCAATGATCATTTTGTGATTAAGTGAATTTTTGTACTGAAGAAGAACATTCACTGTATTTTTCATTAATTTGTTACAAGGGATAATTATTTTATTGATTTTCTTTCTGTTTAATTTTTGGCAGAATTGTGGAAAATGGGGGTCTGTTCAGTTTTGCTGCTCCACTTAATCACAAAAATTTATTGCATCTATTTATCACCTTCGAGTATCTTACTGCAACGCTTCATATACAAATTCATCTGGGAGTAATCGTTTAACGTCGTGCGAATTAATTCGTTGAGGATGTTTGGCCATTCGCGTTCGAGGATTTGAAGCTTTTGAATTGCATCGATTGTTTGGTCTATTAAATTCGATAAGTGGACTTTGCCTTTATGTCGAGCAATGAGATCCTCCTGAAATCAATGGCGAGTGAAATTATCGAGTCAGACCATCGCAGTATGAGAGATATTTTGTGTACAAGGTGTCAAATAGTATACAGAAGTGCCCAAATTCTTGACTGCAATTCGAACAATACCTATGAAGTAATAACAACAATGTGGAGCCTAATAATAAGTTTAATCTGGAGAGCTAAGGCATTTACACATATAAATAGTAGCAAATAAATAGTTTACAGGGGATAATTGATGCTTGAGTCTATTTTTACCTGTGTTACATTACCACGACGCCACTGCAGTGCTTCCTTGGCCACGACATTTCTCAATGCAGGATCACTGCTGAATAAAAACTGTTTGGCAGTGATTTGTTCCCCATTATGTCTCTGGGCCTTTTCCAAGTGTAATCTTTGCAGTAAAGGCTGCAACAACGACTCTGGCAGTGACCACATCACAATGTCAGTCAGTCCAGAATATTCTTCATTCGCTAATTCAATATCACGTTCTGTTATCTATCAAAAATAATTAATTACTCCGCAATTTTCAAAGTGTATCGCACTCTAAGGTTCGGCCGATATTTCTCCATAATTTTCGCCGTTTAGCTAACCGTATGGTACGAGGAATGGGTGAATAGGGGAATTAGAAAGAATGGACTTGGGATTCGACGAATGGTCATTTGATGTTCAGCCGACATTTGGCCGTGGATGGGTCGCCGAGACTTGGCATGCCAATTCTAGGCCGAGGCCGGGATACTTGAGGGGTTGAATATTCTCCAAAAAGTGAACTCCTATCTTACCTCTTTCCCATTAATAACTTTGAGTCCCCAATGCGCCAACCTAAAAACCGCGTAAATTCTCCAATCCTTAGAGATAATGGGATTCCCCTCAGCCTCGATCTGAATGCTGGCCAACCCTTGGACCTCCGCGAGCGCATTCAACTGCCCCAGATGACTGATGTTAGTTTCCTTAAATATAAAATGTTCAGCATTCGGGAACCGAATCTTCAATTTGTTTAATACTGTGGCAATCCCGTTGAACTGCACGTAATTGAATTTAACTACATTAACATCGTCGGCTTTTGTTACGTCCCAGGGTCGGTCGATGAAGCGCAATGCACCCTGGCCGTAGACGTTCAGGCACCGTCCAACGATTTCTACTAAGTAATCACCACCTGGGAACAGATCGATCATAACAATCAATCTTGCAATCCCGTTTCTGGCGATAAGGATTGAAATGGTTATATCGCAAAAACTAATTGAGCGGGATTTTTTTCTTCATTTTTTTTCGTATTCCCGAGGAAAAATGGTACGGAAAAAATATGTCAAATACCGGCGCCAAATGAATCATAATTATCCCTGGGGAACGCTGTCATTTTTCACATTTTTCCATTAAAACTCATTATTCATAGTGAAAATTCAAATGCAAAATTTTGAAATTTTTTTTTAATTCAGAAAATTTCCGATGCATGCACGGAAAGAAATATTCAATAAAAATTAGGTATCTTTTCCGTAATTCCGAAGCGACAGGTGGTTGTAGGAAATTTTCTCTCCATGGAGAGAAATGAGCAGTAAAAATTACGGAACTCACAGTTCGCTCACCAATTACGGAATCGACTCAGAAAATTTAAGTGGCGGTATCGGAATTTTTGACAGGAGATTCAGGTAAAAATTACGAATCGCTCTGGAAAAATTCCAACCACATTTCGCTCTGGAATTACGAAAAAGATACATAATTTTTATTAAATATTTCTCTTCGTGTGGAAAATTGTATTACATAGATGTTTTTTTAAATCAGTCACATGAAAACTGTAAAAACAAAAAAATGGGAACCCAAAAATAGAAAAAATAGTGATCCTCTGTAGCAAAAGGTCTCAAATCTTCATAGTTAGCTCATTTTTGTGTGGTTAACAAAATATAAACGAAAATTCAAAATCGACATTTTGAGGCCCAAAACCCATGACATTTTTGTGGAATGTCTCACATACAGTAGTCTCCCTATGATTTCAGTAGGAGAAGTTGCCTTCCCCCACCACTGAGTCCGTTAACGTATAGTGGGAAGTGCGTGAACCCCTCTGCGCGACACGACCGCGCAGTGCCGCTACAGGAAAAGTGCAACAGCCAGGTTCCACTCCCTCTCCGTTTCTCTCTTCTCAAGTCACGCACTTCATGGAAGAATGGGGGATTCCCCGACGTTTCAGTACGCATAATTTTCACCCTCGACCCCGAAATGATAGAGAAATTTGTATATTTACTGTTGGAAATTTTTGGACATTTCCCGGAAAATATGGTAGTAATTCTCATGAGAGTGAGATTGCATCCGATTTAAGAGAAAAAATGATTATGAAATTTCAAGTTTTAGATAGAATTCAAGGAAATTCATGTGTTTTCAGTGGTAGTGAGACGCAAATTTCACAACTTGGTTGAATTTGCAATGTCACATGAATATTCACAAACAAAATGACATGAATATTCAATTTTTCCCTGAAATTTCCTAATTTTCCCAAATTTTCATGAAATAATTGAACTAAAAAATCAAGATTCTATTGATTTTCAGATCATCCGACCCAAAAATCAATGGACTCTGTGATTTTTCAAAGACAAAATTCCCTGAAATTTCAGTGGAAATTGAGCATGGTAAAATTTTTCGGAATCTGACACGGAAAATTCAGAGCCTCAACTCCATACCTTGTTCCTTCTCCTTAGGAGTATTGACAACAGGTGGTGGCGTAGCTACCGCGACCGCCCTGTGCTTCGCCCTGGCAGTGGCCGCCCTGTTATTCTTATAATGCACCATTTTCTTGATCCCCGCGCTCTTAACCCTGCCCCTGTCATCCTCGGAGTCCTCCAAGTCATCAGCCTTAGTCGTAGAGCTGCTGCTGCTCTCAATCGTCGACTTATTACTGTCCAAACTACTAGTCTTCAAATGACTCAAGCTGAACAAGTCCCCACTTTCCTTCCCGTTCTCTACGAGACTGTAGAACCCCCCAGTGGAGTTTGCCTTCACATGTGCCCGGAATATCTTCATGTTGCCCTTCCCCGCGTCATCCCTCCTGCTGCCAAGAGGACCGTTACAATAACTGTAGACATTGGGCTTCTCCCCATCGACGGAGGCAGCTCTGGAACATTTCAATAAATGGCTTCTGAGGCCTGTCTTGAGGCTCTCGTGGCTCTCTGAGCTTTCGAGCTCAGAATCGGTCGTCATGTCCATGCTATCCATCATCAGACACTTGGGGTTCCTCAAGCCCTCACTAATCTTGCTATTCGTGAGATTATTGATAATGGGAACTAGAATCGGCGGCAGTTTGAAGTCAAGAGCATTGACTTTGTTGATGTTGTCGAGTCTGAACAGTCCGTCGGAGGAGTTGCTGCGCTTTTTGAACTGAATCTTCTTGGCTTCGACTTTCTCGTTGATTGAAGTCAGAGAGCCGAAGCCTCGGCTCTTGGTCTCTTCCAGGCTCTTGAGCTTCACGGTGTCGAATTTGCTGGAGTTCTGGAGGTTCAGCCCGCGGATTTTCTCGTTCTTGATGCCGTTGGTCTTGGTGGAGTTGCTGGTGAAACACTTTGTTTGCGAGCGGAGAAGCTCCCAGTTAGTTTTGGCATTGGTGATCACTTCTTCTCGGCGGACATTCACGCAGACTTGGGTGCTGAGGTCCAGGAAGGCTGAGTTTGATTGCTCCTTCGTCGTGCGCCAGGCCATCGCTGCTCTTCGGACCTGCTCGTTCACCTGCGCATGGTTGATTGAGGTGTGACTACACTGAGAAAAATATCTGTTTTCCGGAAAAAACCATTTACTTGGGAGAAGTATTTATTATTTTTCTGTACTGCTTCTCACGGTTTCTCGTCTGAAAATTGGTATTGCAGACATCCCAAACTCGAAAACTTGAAAATCACTATAAAAAAATCTTGTCCCGGGCTGCTGCGATGGGGTTTTTTTACTCGTGTGGTTGGCTAGTCCTCGCCTTCGGCTCGGACGCCAACGTCGCACAAGTAAAAAAACCCATCGTAGCAGCCCGGAAAAATACTATTTTGACACTGCTGCTACGTGCCGAAAAGTGCCTTTTCGTTTACTCGTACCCGAAAAGCAAACGAAAAATCGTCGATGTCTTCACCTTAGCTACACGCGCCCAGGATCATTTACCTCCCAAAGCTTCCATTCGGAAAAGTACGAAATTGACTCGGTCATTCCTCACCTGCATTGTCGACAGCACTTGAAGATTGGGTAGATAAGAAACTAGGAATGAAACACAGTCGGCACTCAAGGTCACTGGGTTCCCATCAATCGTGACTTCTCTGATCTGGAGGGACTTGGCCAACGACCCCATGTCCTCAATCTTCTGGATGTCGTTGTTGCTCAGATAGAGTTTCTGAAGCTGAGGAGTTTCTCCAAACCCCAGGAGCTTCTTTATCTTGTTCCTCTTCAGATTCAATTCCTTGAGGGAAGACAGCCCATGGAAGTCGTTGAACCCGATAGTCTTCACGTTGTTCCCGGCAAGATTCAGGACTTTTAACGACGAAAGCTCCTCGAGCCCGGACACCTGGACGATCTGGTTTCCATGGAGATCTAGAACCTCCAGTTTCGTGAGGGGCTTCAGTCCCTCGATTTTCTTAATCCGATTTTTACCGATCAGCAGGACCCGCAGGTTCTCCAGGGGGGTGAGATCGCAGATCTTCTCGATCTGATTGTCGTAGAGGTCTAGGAACACGAGTTTCGTTAGATGAATGAAGTTGTCCCCCTCGATTCTGGAGAGGAGGTTGTGCTGGAGCGACATGAGGCGGAGTTTGGGCTCGCCGAATATGTCGGGAAAGGTCGTGAGACCGCGACGATCCAGGCAGATTCTGTCCGGATTTTTCTCGCGCTCTTGGGGCGTTCGGGAGGCCACCACTGATCTGCCCTCTCCCGCCTGCTGCAGTGCGACGACATCACAGCCTCCGGTCTCCGCATCTTCGAAGGCGAACGTTGAACCCGCAGAACTGCCACGAAAAAGGGGATTAAGGTGTTTCGTGCGAAATAGGGAAATAATGAGATTCATCTGGAATTCGTGTGAAATGTTTGTAATCACAATTGAATTGTCTGTGAATTTTCATAGAATTTTTTTAGATGTCCTTTTCAAGTTATTAACGATTGAAGTCGATTCTTATACATGGGCTCTTATGGAGATTTTTCTGTTTAGCATGAAACTATTGTATCCGCTCAGATGGTAACGTAGGTCCTTGCAAAACAGAATTTTTTTATAGAAGCCCATGTATAAGAAGCGACTTCAATCGTTGATAACTTGAAAAGAACATCTGAAATAATTCTGTGAAAATTCATAGACAATTCAATTGAGATTATAAAAATAAATTCATTATAATTAATTATAATTATTTCAATTGTAATTATTATTGTGACTATATTATTGTTGATAACTTGAAAAGGACATCTGAAAAAATTCTGTGAAAATTCATAGACAATTCAATTGAGATTATAAAAATAAATTCATTATAATTAATTATAATTATTTCAATTGTAATTATTATTGTGACTATATTATTGTTGATAACTTGAAAAGGACATCTGAAAAAATTCTGTGAAAATTCATAAACCATTCAATTGAGATTATAAAAATAAATTCATTATAATTCATTATAATTAATTATAATTATTTCAATTGTAATTATTATTGTGACTATATTATTAGCTCAGATCCAACGCAGTTCCGTGCTAAATAGAAAAATCTCCATAGGAGCCCATGTATAAGAAGCGACTTCAATTGTTCATTACTTGAAAAGGAAATTTGAAAAAATTCTAGGAAAATTCATAGACAAGTCAATTATGATTATAAATGTTCTACATGAATTCCAGATGAATGTCATTATTTACCTTTTTCGCACGAAACACGTTAATGCACAATTAGAATGGAAAACCCGATAATTCGATCATTTCGGCCCATATAGAAAAAAATTCATAGAAAAAGCTGGCGAATTCGCTAGGAAATTCTATTGGATTTCCACTTGACTTGGAAATTCTGTCAGTTGTTCGCCGATTTTATCGAAAAATCACGCAGCTTTCCTGCGTGTTTTTTAAAATAGGAAATGGTCAATAGAAGAAATCAAAAGAATTTAATATTTTATACAACTTCCTCGACGTCAATTTTATAATTTTTTTCTTTCAGTCCATTTTTTCATTAATTTTTTTTGCATGAAAAGGTTTAATAAAAAAACCAAGGAAATTCGCTAGGCATTTCTATTGAATTTCTATTAGTTTTTGAGCGATTCTATTGAAATGTTCATTAGAAAATATTCTATAGAAAAAAATCAAAAGAATACGATTTTTCCATACAACTTAGTCTATTGAGATATTTTATATAGAACTTTGGCTCACATTTTCCAAGTTTTTTCGTTTGATTCTCTGGATGAAAAGAAAAAAAAATAGAATGAAAAAAATTGAGAAAATTTGAGACGAGGCAATTCTACAGAAAATATCTGAAGAGAACAAGTTATATGGAAACATCAAATTCTATCAACTTGCTCCATTGAACATTTCAACAGAAAACCAACAGAATTTTCCAACGAGTTCGCTACGTTTATCTACAGAATAAACAGAACAGACAGAATAAACGATTTTAAAAAATGCTAAAAAATTCAAAAACTTACTTCAGAGAGCTGTAAGTACGCTTAGTCAATTTTAATGGAGCGGGTGCACCAGGCAGAATAGGTAAAGCTGGTGCAATCGTAAAAAACTGATTGTCCTCCTCAGTATCAGCATGAACAGTTGCCGATTTTCCCCTCACGTTAAACGTCAATTTTTTGGCCTTAATTCAATGAAATAGTAAAAAAACACCTGTTTTGATTTAAATTAGGAACCTCGCCTCACCGCTAATTACTCAGAGGGGATTTCTAACGGGGTCTGTTGCTAGGGATACGACAACATAAACTTGCAATCTATTTTTCTGACTTCACCAGAATTGAAGGGTGAGTCATTACTATTTACCTGGGACTTGGTACAATTGCTTATTGGCATTACATAACCACCGATGTGATGCCCCTCGTCGACGAGCCTCCAGCGAATTGTCGTCACGATTTTGTCATTGACGTTTGGTTAAATAGCTATTGGGTTGGGTATGTACATATTTTTGTGACAGCTATGGATATTGGCATTATCCATATCGTTAGGGATTGAGTTTATTACTGTTTGTTTGTCATTGCGCTGTTGTGAAGTATTGGGGGGAGTGTTTGAATTATTCCCGCCTTTGTTTGACATTTTTTGAATTTTTTTGCGACGGCTGGAGGGGGAGTTGGAGGTGATAACAATGACTTGGAATTGTGATGATGGGATAGAAATGGAATGTTCTTATTTTTTCCGAATGGAGACATTGTGTTCGTCAAATTCAAAATTTTCAATTTGTTGAGCCAGCATAAATAGATTACGCAGATGCATAGGGGAGGGTGGGGTAAAATGGACACTTTAGACTTTTTAAAAATTATTCATAACTCAGAAACAAATTTATCAATCGAGCTAAGTTTAGCCTCACCACAAAGGGAAAGAGTTGTTCTTTGTATTGAAAAAAAATTATTAAATTTCATCAACATTTCGTGTAGTTGGTTCGTATGTTGGTGTAGATCTACGGAGGGATGGTTTCAATCACGGATAATTATATGTAGCTTTTTCGGGAGTTCGATCATGACATGTCAGGATATGTCTGTGTGAAAGAAACCGAGTTGATCGTATTTAGTATCCGAGATATTCACGGTTTTCCATCGATAACGGCCGTATAAATTAACATTGAATTATTTTCTGATCTTCGATACCAACATCATTTCCAACGGAACATGTGTTGATCCTCAATTGATGTTTTCATGGATTTCGACTTATCTCCGATTGATTCTCGATGGAAATTTCCATCCCTTTTCAATAAAAAAAAATTCATGGATTTTCAAAAGTTTTCAGCATTTCCCACGCATTTCTCCGTAGTAATACTATAGAAATTTGTATACGTGAAATAACATATGGGTTCAAATCAACTTACAATAATAACGGGATGAATCATATAAAATCCATCATAGTGATGTGTTCGATCTCATATCAGAAAAATAAAGAGAAAACAGTGAAAAAAAAATTGTTTTCATTCTTCCACTATCGGAGAAATATTTGTGGAAAAAAGTCGCATGCGCCAAATAAAATTGTCCTCCAAAGTTGAGTCAAAATGGAAAATTTCAAACGTAAGGTACGTTCTGACATGAATAAACACAATTACACAACTTATGGAGGCACAATGCATCTCCTTCTTTACGATAATTGCAATTGAAATTGACTTCTCTTTTATTTTTTTTGCATTCAATTATCTTTTTTTGTATAAACAAGGTTTTAAAGTTAATTGTGGCAGTTTCTGATTTTTCATGGTGACTTCGGAAATTTTTTTGAAGTCCATAAAGTAAAATAAATTGTGGGACAAGTCCTTCCAGGTATTTTTGAATCCAAAGCTGGCTAGTAGATTTATAAACTCCTCGATATTGTCGAATCGACTCTCGACCTCTGCAATTTTCAAAATTCCCCTGCAACAGAGCACAAGAAGTTGAATTTCCATACATATTTACGACAGCAAATTGGAATCTACAGAACGTTAATGTAGAACTGTCTTACTCTTTTTTCAACACTCGATTCGCCTCTCGAAGATAATCATTGAGATTAGTACCCATTAGAGACAAACAAAATACTACAACATTGACTCCACCGATCAGAAGAGGAGTGTGAGCCATGTCACAAGCTGTGACTCTATCATTCAGCGCTACGAGATCAATGGAATGGACCTTTTGACTGACAGAAGCTGCTAATCTGGCCTCTCCACATCCAAAATCAGCAATTATCCAATCTTTAGGCCTATAAACATTTTAAAAAATCATCAACAAAATTTTTAATAGATTCTTTTCAGTGAATAATTAAGTAATAAAGAAGTGAGGTGAAAGGAAGGAAAAAATGTTCAATTTTTTTTGCAAACATCTCCGAAATTATTATATTATATACGGATAATTCAATGCTAATTTATATAATAACATTTTTAAGAAAGTTTCAGGGAAATAGTAATAGTTGCGAAAACTTTTCAAAATTCAATATGTGAAAATTATCAGTAAATTTTTAATTTTTCTAAATGACTAATTCCATTTTGATGCCAATTTTTGAGTGATCGTTAAAGAAACGATTTTTGGAAAAATATCAATTTTTTTGAATCTGTATGAAAAAACGAATTTTAATCGGTGTCAATGAATAGAGCTTATTAAAGTCTATATTCATCGAAAAATTCATGAAATTCGATTGATCTCTTATTTTAAAAAATCGTGAAAAAAATGACGCCATCTAAAAATTGCATATTCGGTCTTTTTAGACCATATTAATTACCCTAACAATTGGAAATTGAAATTTGAACGATTGCAAAGCTGCGATTGTCATCTAATATTAAAAACAAACCATGGACCTGTAAAATCAGTCTTCTTACATTTTTTTTACTGCAGTAATGATGACATCGAGTGGATTCACAGGCCACTGGTTTACCTGCCGCTGGTACCCATCGTGATAAGCCTTGAAAGCCTCTGGATCCTCCTTGAACATCTGCTTTGAAACTGTCGAATCATTCTTGTAGAGCTCTTCATTCAGATATCTGAATCTTGATGCCCTCAACTGGGCGACCATTCTCTCCCTCAGGCTCTGGGGTTTTTCCACCACTCCTTTATTCTTCACCTCCAACAGATGTGCCAATTTGGTGACATTTATTTTTGTTTTCCCACTGAGATTTAATCTAACGATCTTTCGTTTTGATTCTTGTTTATTCTCAGGCTTCAACTTTTTACTCAAATTCGGTTTCGAGATGCTCCTCTGCTCATTTCGTTCGTCAGCATTTCGTTTATTCTTCTTCGACTTTGGCTTTAGCTTTTTAGGAGATTTTGATGGGTTTTGGGAGCTCTGAGAATTTTTTTCAGGAGAAAATTTTGGTTTCTTGGATTTTGGGCGTTCGTTGGGGTTCGAGGACAATGATTTTTGCTTCAGGGATTTGAAGAATTGTTTATTCGTCGTTGCTTGCTTTTTGGATTCTGCAGGATTCTTCTTGGTAGACTTCTTCGTGGAGTGAACATTCTTGTCGATTTTGGAGTTCAACGTCTTCTGGTTTATGACTTGGAGATTTTTTTTCAGAGAGAGTATTTGGTCTTTGGCTGGGTCAGTGGGGGCTGTGTTCTGTTGAGGGGATTTAGAGTTTTTGAGCTTCTTCTTGTCACGATTCTTCCTCTTCTTTTGAGAATTTGTCTAAAAAATAGAAGAATAACTAGAATGAGGGGGATTAATTCGGCTTTTTCCATTGTTATGAATAACAATAGACAGATTTTTCTCTTTAGAATAGGGGAGATTGGGGTAGAAAGGACACTTGATTTTTTTTTAATGTTAATGAGGGGTTGAAATATTGATAAAATTCAATAATATTTCAAAGAACAATTCTTTCCCTTTGTGGTGAGCCTAAACTTAGCTCAATTAATAAATTTGTTTCTGAGTTATGAATAATTTTAAAAAGTCTAAAGTGTCCATTTTACCCCACCCTCCCCTACACTTCATTAGGTTTGCAGTCATTTCTTTCTGCAAATCAATCTAAATCTTTCATGTAAAGTTTGTATAGTTTTTGGTTTTCCTTACTCTTTTCTCCTATTTTGACATTCATTGATTTTTATTCCCGAATTATTATCAATTCGAGAATAAAATTATAAACTATAAATGATAAATTCGGAATTATTTGGCAGACAAAAAGTACAAAAAAATGTATAGAAAAACCTAGCGAATTCGCTAGAAAATTTTATTGAATTTCTATTATTCAACTTTTTATTAGTTTTTGGCTAATTGTATTGTAAAATTTCGCAGGTTATCTGCGCGATTTTTTTTCAATGGAAAATTTATTGAAAAACTTGAAAAGAAATTGTTGTCAGTGACCAATTGTCAATTATTTCGGGGTTAATTGTTCACTCCACTACATTGTTGTTGTCATTATTGTGTAGAGAGAATTCTTAACCCCAAAAAATAAATCTCACCTTCGTGAATAATTGCTTACTAAGGCTATCACCCACTTCACTCTTCTCCCAGTCGCTATTAGAAAGCGAAATCATTTTTAAACTTCGAAAACAACAAAAGCCAAACAACAAGTTTATTTATGTTTTTGTGGTGATGAATGGAGTGCACATGTCGCACAAGTTTTTATGATTCATTTCCCAAAATTCCTAGAACTCCCTAGGTATAAATATAAATAGTCTCTAGAAGGTGTGAAGTGGCCGAAGGAAAATGAGGATGAGTTTACTCCCGATTCTTTCTGTCTTTAGACAGACGAAACTCCTCGTCACACCTCTCCAATATGCAGTAACAAAGTGCGGATATGCAGCACCAGGTAAGATAGAAAATCATTGATTACGTTAATTGACGGGAGGAATATAAACAGAGGAACAAGTTGTCGGGGTATGTCGTCTCTCATAACCTATAAATTTTTTGCAATTATTTAGTCAGAGGTGCCAACATCACAAATTCATATTCATTACCGCGGGAAGTTTGAGGAAAATAGAGAAAATGTAATTCCAAAATGTAATAGGAAAATAGAATAATTAGGCGAGGGTGCGGTAAAACGGACACTAGACTTTTTTTTCAATTACTCATAACTCAGGAACAAATTTATCAATTGAGCTCAGTTTAGGCTCATTACAAAGGGAAAGAATTGTTCTTTGCGTTAAGAAAATTTATTAAATTTCATCAACATTTCAACCTGTTATTAACATTTTTAAAAAAGGCAAATGTGTCCATTTTACCCCAACCTCCCCTATATCAATCAATAAGATATCAGGAATGAGATATTGTAAGGATATCTCTATATAATCAAAAAAATAAGGGTGAGGGGGGGGGGGAAATTCAGGAGACGCTGAAATTTTGGNAGACACTTTTTTTCAATTACTCGTAACTCAGGAACAAATTTATCAATTGAGCTCAGTTTAGGCTCATTACAAAGGGAAAGAATTGTTCTTTGCGTTAAGAAAATTTATTAAATTTCATCAACATTTCAACCTGTTATTAACATTTTAAAAAAAGGCAAATGTGTCCATTTTACCCCAACCTCCGCTATATCAATCAGTAAAATATCAGTAATGAGATATGAGTAAGGATATCTCTATATAATCGCTCTATATAATTAAAAAAATGAGGGAGAGGGGGGGGAATTCAGGGGACGCTGAAATGTTGGGGNCGGACACTTTTTTTCAATTACTCATAACTCAGGAACAAATTTATCAATTGAGCTCAGTTTAGGCTCATTACAAAGGGAAACAATTGTTCTTTGCATTAAGAAAATTTATTAAATTTCTTCAACATTTCAACCTATTATTAACATTTTAAAAAAGGTAAATGTGTCCATTTTACCCCNACTACAACTTAAAAATATTCCCCTCAATATTATACTCATATATATATACTAGAAAAAATGCTGATTACTTTTGGGACTTCTCTTGAATTCAAGGTGATTGAAACGATGAATTTGTATTTTCATATTCAAATGTAAAAAAAATATCTTTATCAATACCGACTTCGTTTCACGGCGGGGATATTCTACCGTGAAGTTCGGGAGTTGTGGAAGAAAATCCTCACGGTCCCCCGGGTTGGCGAGCGGAGCGAGCAGGGCGGGGAGCCCCCTAGTGAATAATGTAATTAATAAGAATGTTCGAAAGGAAATATCGAGAGGGCCTGGATTTCAACGCGCTTGAAATCTTCGACTTTTAACAATTAATTATTAATTAATGAGCAATATTAAAAACGTTTATGAGCGAAAAATGAATTATTCAGGGCCCAAACTAGAGATTAGAAAATTGAAAAAAATTCATGCAAGTTCCCTATTGCATCGGGCGCATGTTCGAAATTTTCAGGCTACACGTAGATATTGTAATTCAACTACTTCGAACCTTCAATTTGGACAATTATAATGCTTCCATTGTCACCTGTCGGAAAATCGATTACTTATTATTGATCATATGTAGGATTAATTGACTATTATTTGTTTTTTTTTTCAGGAGCAGCACTTGGAAAGACCAAAAAAATGAAGAAAAGTCTGGCAGGTCCCGGAAAAGTCGTTCTTCCAGTGGAAACTGACACCAACAAACTAGTCAATTACGTCTGTGGCTCGAACATCTACAAAGAAGGCGAGGATATCAAACTGAAACCCGAGAGTGAGTACCCAGACTGGCTCTGGACGCTTTGGACTGAGAATCCTCCAGCACTTGAGGACTTGGACCCCAACACCAAAGCCTACTGGAGAAAATTACGAAAAATGGGGCTGAGGAGGAATAATATAAAATCACTTCATAAACAAAAGAAAACCTCTTACAGAATATAAATACATAATCATGTACACTAACTAATTAATCAACCATTCAGCTGTTAACTAAAATTTCATCAATAAAATTGTGAAAAACTTGACAAATATTAATTTTTTTTTTTATGCAAAAAGAGTCTCGATAATTTTCAACAGATGATTTTTTTGGCGCAAATAAGCTGTTTCTCTCTGCTGTTTTTCATTCAGTGTAGAGTAAACTGGTTGTATTTTGGGTCGGAAATTTTACTGCCTTTGAAATGGAATTGTTATCGACCCCCTGCCTCTCTTTGTTGTCAAGATATTGAATAAATATTGGAAGAAGGTATTAATTTACTTTGAACTGTTTATCCGCCCGGCGAAGTATTGATGCACTTAACGACACAATTCTCTCTATTCAAAGATCTTTTAGTTTTTGTGCGTAATTGGAAAAACTGTTTTTCAAGATATTCTGTATTATCCCCGGGCTACTTCACTCGGTCAAACCTTAGATGTTTTGAAGGTACAAATTATATGGAAAGTAGGATGCTATATGCTATGACTTTCCGTACCTCTATACGAGGGAAAGAATTAACAATCCACCTGAGTTCGAGTCTGGTGTGCCTCCGAATTTTTTAATTTGTGCATTGCTAATCATTCAATTGTTTCCCTCATATAGAGGTTCGGAAAGTCGAAAGGTAGCATATAGGGTAAGCTACCCAATAGATGGACACTGTCCTGTAGATGGACGAGCTACTTTTGGATAGGAAATTACGCAAAAAAATACTGAAATGTGAATTGTTGCTTGGCATTTTCACTAACTGTTGTGATGCATAACCCCTGAGTGACGATTTTTTTTCGATCAATTTTTTTTTTCAATTGCTAAAAAACAAACGTCCATCTACTGGGCGGTTTTCTTAGGCGTCCATCTACTGGGCAGTTTACCCTAACATCCTACTTTCCATATAATTTGTACCTTAAAAACATCTAAGGTTTGACCGAGTAAAATAGCCCGGGGATAATACTATTGTACCCAGCGTGGGGGGTACTTATAATTATAATAGGTTCTAGACTTGAGGATTTACTACACCCTTTCGGCCAAAATTCACGTTTTTTTCATTTTTCTGGAAAATTATTGACCTGATTGACGCGAAATAATATACCCTTTTAGCGTTTTATCATTATTGACTGACTCACAAAGTTTCATGGTAGTGTAATCATTTTCCTGCATTTTTTCTAAAGCTTTGCGAATTTCCGAAAAGTTTTAGAAAAAAAGCAGGAAAATGATTGCACGATCATGAAATTTCATGAATCATTAAGTAATGATAAAACGCAAAAACGGTATATTGTTTCACGTCAATCCGATCAACAATGTGCCAGAAAAATTTAAAAAACGTGAATTTTGGCGAAAAGGGTGTAATACATCCTTAAAGGGATAAATCCCACCAATGGTTTATCGGCATTTAAATATGAGAATTTATTACATGATTATAATTACTGTGTCATCTGACTGATCACAAAGAATTTACAACTTTCGTACGCGTCGGAGTCCAATTCAGGTCTGATCTGTGCAGACTCAACCGTCTCTTAAATAATACATTGATTGTTTATATTTCATCACTTGGCCAGCATAATCCAGTACCGCTGCCAAGCGTCGCGCTGACAATGCTGTATGTCCACATATTAAACAATAGCGCAATTGACCACATCTGGGGCATAACAATACAGAATATGAATATACCGGTCGAAATAACATCTCTCATTGTTTTCGAAGATTTTTTGTATAATCTCTTAGTGAATAAGGCCGGTAGATTCTCATTGTGCATTTCTCTAACAGCTTTCAAGTCATATTTACGTTTTTAGTTTATCACATTTTGCTCTTCCAAATGTGAAATTTTGCCCATTATGTCCATACAGACTATATTTTGTATATTTCATCCTCCCTGCGATTGCTATGTATCCTATATTGTAATTATGAGATTTATCAGGATGAAAGTCAATGAAACACAGAGAGTTAGGTAAAACTGAACTATTTATTTGAGAGGTCTTCACGCCTATTCTCTCCTCGAGAGACTGACTGCTTAGAGAGAAACTGCAGTGGTCCTTTGCCCTCTGGCCTCCATGGTTTTCCCTTGTCACCATGTGTCGGACAAGGGTCTGTTGTTCTTGAAATTTGTGTATGTAAGGGACACAGGCCCCACATGTATATAAACCGTTCGTAAAAAAAAATACTGGGAAAGAGAAAATTATTTGGAATGTACGACGCAGTAGAGGAGAAAACAATTGAGTGATTTTGTAAATTCCAATATCCTATATGCAGAAATAAATAATAATAAATGAAATATTGGAAGAAGCGGAATAAATGAGTAATTGATTGCTCAAATTTCGTTTGATCGTCCTCCGAGCGTCACGATAAACTTATTATGAGCCGTAAATTTAGGGAGGGAATTACGTGCAATTCTTCACGAACAGCCGGAGTGCCCTGGAAGATGCGGCAAATCAAGGAGATTATCGAGCGAATGTTCTCACACCTAAATTTGCGAAGTTGACGTCGAGAACCAGGAAACGTGCCTCAAATCCATTAACAATCGATCATAGCGGCTCCAAGGACAATTATAATTCACGTGGGGACAATAACATTCATCGGCACGTGTGCAATATGCGGCAACTAGAGCACATTGACAACTGAATGATCCAATCCGCTATCGAACAATTGGAGAAATGGTTGGGACTAGTTCGGGGTATTGGCGGAGATGTTTAGATAACGAGTTTGATGCGGACAAGGGATTCATGATAATCCTTTCACGTATTTCCTACAGCATTATCTGAAATGATGAAAAGTCGCGTAATCGACCAAATCAGGTATATAAGTCGCTATCTTGGCAATTGATATCAGTTTGAGTTCGTTCATTCAAGTGCTCACATCGCCGATTGAAAGAGGTAAAATAGACAGATGAATCATAATTGTAGTGGGTAGTTTGATGTATTTTGAAGGTGTTCACAAATCGCGGCCGCGCCGCACTTTTTCCGATTTCTTAAATTAGTTTTCTACTGCAGTAAAGCCTCGGAAAAATTAAAAAAAATTTGACATCTCAAAATTTTTAAGTGCCCTATCAATGGAAATATTCACGGAGAGAAATATTCAATAAAAATTACGTATCTTTTCCGCAATTTCGGAGCGAAATGTGGTTGTAGGAAATTTTACGGAACTGTTACGGAATTTTTCCACTGCGTTCCGTAATTTTTATGTGAATCTCCTGTGAAAAATGACGATACCGTCACTTAATTTTTCTGAGTCGATTCCGTAATCGGTGAGGGAATTGTGAGTTTCGTAATTTTTACTGAACATTTCTCTCTGTGTCCGCCAAAAATATCATAAGTAGTTAGATTTTCACATTTTTATTCCGAAACTTCGGGCCATCACGTATGAAAAAATTTAATAAAAAACCTCGCGAATTCGCTGGAAAATTGTATCGGAATTCTATAGGAATTCTATGGGGTTTCTATAGGATTTCTATTGGAATTCTATTGAAAAATTTTACTTGTTTTCAAAATCTATTGAAAAAGTCAATAGATTTCGAATTTCTGTTTGAATTTTTCTCTCAAGATTTTTTCTGTTAGAAATTATTGGGCACAAATCTTCCAAGTTTTTTCCGTTGGATTTTGTTTTGTTTCGCATTACAGAATGCGAGTGGAAAAAACTTAGAAAATTGATGCCCAAGCATTTTTTTCGAAAAAATTTCGAGAGAAAATTTCAAACAGAAATTCGAAATCTATTGATTTTTTTATCGAATATCCCATAGAATTCATGTAGAATTTTCTTACGAATTCGCTAGGTTATCTATTGAATTTTTTCATGCGTAATATATCGTGTATATGGCTAATTTTCAGAAAACCATTATTTATTCATTACATTTGGATAATGCGTGTTGTACCTAAAAATTCCATTCATCGATCAAGAAAGACTATTTCGTTGATTTATTTAGGAAACTCATGTTTATGGTGTCCTTTGATCTCCATATGATCACAGTTCTTGTGCCGGTGGGTCTGTATACAGCGATAAATAAATAAATAATCGAGTCCTTGTCAGCGATGATGGGTCATTCCTATCACAAATTCACTCAACTATTTTCTTTCTTTTTCCAGATGCGCGTTTTTTTAATTCTCGCTAGCTGCTTGGCATTGGCCGCCGTCAAGGCGTCAGATAGTAGTAAGTGAATATACAGGTTATTTAATGTTTTATTTATGACGTATTGATGAATAATTGAAGAATTTTCGACCGGAACTAAACATCGCGATTGGATTTATCTTATCAAGAATTACCTCACACAAAGTCTACATGCGCTCTGAATCATCACTTTACTCATAGATTCCTATATATGCGAATGTACACTGATGTACTCAAACAAGTCTTGTTTGAACCTAAAAATTGCAGGTTAATTATTTTTAGAGTAGAAACTTTTTCGCCCCGGCGGGCGCAAAGTACACATTTTCCTCCCGCTTCGGGGAGTTTTTTTTATCTTCGAGTCCCTTTACGGGTCCCATTTGGCACTGTCCAGGATTTTTTTTTAAGGTGTTTATTGTCATAGTTGCCAAATACAAATACACTAATGCGTTTAACATTTCTCCAATAAACAAAAGATTACTTATCTAGAGTGAATTTATACAAGAAAGTTGTTCAACGACGTGTTTTGCTATGATGTCTATCGGTGTGAATGGTGGTGCTATTATTCCTATTTATTAGTTTATACCATAATCAATATGGTTGCTATTCATGTTTCTTGAGTAGAAAGGCTTCAAAAACCACTGTAAAGCACTGTCCAGCCCTGTGCAGGCGGCTGTGGATTCTACAGTGTAGAATCTACACTGTACGCGTTCGCACTCCTATAGAACACAGGAATAGCATAGGGGACACCCCAGGAGCCTCACGTTGAAAAAGTCGGTTCCACGTCGGATCGAACTCGCAACCTTTCGCACACTCTGTGAAGGGATGGGCGATGATAAAAAAAAATCGATTTTGTGAATTGATTTTTCGGGAAAAAACATCGATGATTTCAGAAATCAGTTTTTTCTCATTACACAGGAAATTTTTTTTTTTTTTTAATACTTTTTTTCGTCTTGTTTTTATTGAACAAGATATATTTAAAAAATGTAACTTACGTTTCAATGATAAGTACTGCTGGAGAGTTCAATTTCGAGTCTCAAAACAGGTTTGTTGATTAATTGAAAAAATATACTAAATATTTTACGTGGCTGGACGTTAGCTGCAATAATTGTTAAAAATTTTAGTTAAAAAAAACAATAGGCGACTTGACTTGTCCACTTTCCATTTATAACGTACATGCTGTAGAAAATAATTACTTCCGATTGCGAGTAATAGTATATTTCGATACAAGTGCGGAAAAGTGGTTTTGGCTCGTGGGAGGTGAGTGATATAATCCCACGAGCCAAATCATTTATTTTTGAATCATCGCCCATCCCTACACAGAGTGTGCGAAAGGTTGCGAGTTCGATCCGACGTGGCTCGTGGGATTATATCACTCACCTCCCACGAGCCAAAAATAGTATTTTTCCGGGCTGCTGTGATGAAGTTTTTTACTCGCATGGCGTTGGCGTCCGAGCCGAATGCGAGAAACGGCCAACCACACGAGTACAAAATCCCCATCGCAGCAGCCCGGGACAAGACTTTTTTGTAGTGATTTTCAAGTTTTCGAGTTTGGGAAGTATGCAATACCAATTCTCAGGCGAGAAATCGTGAGAACAGTACAGAACACACTTTTGCCATGAGTATCGAACGATATTTTTCATCACAATGTGTGAAAAGTGGGATTTTGCGCACGCGGAGCGCAAAATTTTACTTTACGCACAAGTGATGAAAATTATAATTTTGTATTCTCAATCAATCAACATTATTATTCGATAAAAAAATGAAAAATTTTGTTAGTAGCTTGTTAAAAAAATTGATGTTTGGATGAAAGAATCGAAAATTGATTAATCGGCCATTGACAGCATCGAGTGAAAACCTTCGATGAAGGGGCATGAAAAATTGGTGTTCTCCATTAATCGACAAACATCGCCGAAAACACTGAAACCGCCAGCATATTATCTTAATCTATTGGATTATGGGGTTTAAAAATAAGAAACACCTTTTATCTATGTGAACACTTTAATTGAAAAATTTCTAAGACTCTACACAGTCAGGAGGTAGTTGACACTATGAATATCTACGAAAGACTAAAGAGGGTTGCTAGTGAGGCGCAGGGCTAACATAGACCTAGGAGGGCAATATAATTTCCACCCCCTGAAGAAAACGCTCGGACTTTCCTCTTGACCCGCCTGGTCGCCAGGTGTACTTGTGGGAAAAACCCATCATTAAAAGTCCCGAGAGAACTTTTCCCCCATTTTACACTCTCAGGGAAGACCCCATAGCTACATAAAACAATAAACCTTTCCTTAACATAAAAGAACTTGGGAGAGTGAATTTTGATCTCGAGGAAGACCCCGAAATTCAACACAATCAATTATCTAATTTTTCCAGAAAAAGTCGTCTGTTATTTTGGTAGCTGGTCAGTCTACCGTCCGGGGAATGGCCAATTCGACATCAGTGATATCGATCCCACCGTCTGCACCCATCTGATCTACACCTTCGTGGGTCTTGAAGATGACAGCGTGAAGGTTCTCGATCCTTGGCAGGACCTCCCCGACGAATGGGGCAAGGACGGCTTCGGGCGTTTCAACGCCCTGCGTAAGAGGAACAGTTCAGTCAAAACGCTGATCGCCATTGGAGGATGGAACGAGGGATCAGCAAAGTACTCTCAGATGGCTGCTAACGCAGCATCACGGGAGCAATTTGCTGATAATGTCGTGAAATTCGTCAAGAAATGGGGATTCGACGGCTTCGACGTCGACTGGGAGTACCCGGCACAGCGCGGTGGAGCGCCTCAGGACCGCGTGAATTACGTCGAACTCCTGAAGACCTTGAGGTCACGTTTCGATAAAGAGGGACTCCTTTTGAGTGCCGCTGTGGCTGCTGCTGAGTCGTCTGCCTCGAAATCATTCAATATTCCGGAGATGAGCAAATATTTGGACTTTATCAACATCATGGCTTATGATCTCCACGGAGCTTGGGAATCCGTCACTGGTATCAATGCACCCCTTCAACCCGCCTCTTCCGACACTGCGGCGAACAAGAAATTGGCTGTTGTAAGTGAATTATTTTTCGGAGAAAAATTCCATAAAAATTACCGGAAAAAACGTCAAAATTACGTTTCGAACCGTAATCCGCGAGCAAAGTAAAATTCAATAAAAATGTGAGTCGGAACTGAAATTGTACGAATCGCCACGTAAATTCTACGATTTGTTCCGTAAAAATTCACCACCCGTTTTATAACTCACCGTTGTGGGTACAACAAGTCGTTTCGTAATTTTTCCCCAACGATTGAGAAATTTTACGGAACGGAACGTAAAAATAACTCACCAGCTTCATAAAAATTGCTGAACGTTCAAGAATTTTTGATTTTGGAGGCATAATAAGTCGGCAAGTTTCTGAAAGATTTTACTTCCTCGGGAAAAATTACGTGACAATTTCGTACTTTGTTCGATGATGAACCTGAAAATTCACTGAACGTTTCAGATTTCTTCTCTGCCATTCCTGTAAAAATTGCCGGAAAACGATTCCGTCATTTTTGTTCCGTCATTTTTACTGAATATTTCCCTCAGTGTATATACCCTATTCGAGTTTTTACATATTTGCGGTTTCATGGGTCGATTTCATCTCCAACCGTGTCGCATTGTACCCCAGGAGCTGGCCTCGAAAACGACTGATGTTCAATGTATTATCATAAGACATCTAGGCAATACTTCTCCATAATTTTCGTTGTTTACACTGAGAAAAAAAATTACTTTTGCCAAGGAATAATTTTCTTGGGAGAAGAATTTATTTTTTGCGGAGCGTATTTCTCCAGGCCAGTCATTATCAAGGAGTCCAAGTCCATCTCTAAATATTACAATTATGTTCAATTATGGAATGATTATATTAGATATGACCTTGAATAAACTCCATTGACAATTATTAATCTTTAAAATTATTTCAAATTATTATGCGTTAGAAAACCTCGAATTTGAAAAAATTGAAAAATAATGAAGCGTGTTCATTCAAGGTCACATGTAGTATAATTATCTCATTATTCAACATAATTGTAATATTTGGAGATGGACATGGACCACCTGAGAATGACTGGCCTAGAGAAATAAGCTCCTAAAAAAATAAATTCTTCTCCCAAGAAAATGATTCATTGGCAAATAGTATTTTTCCGGCCTGTTGCGATGGGGTTTTTTACTCGTATGGCGTTGGCCTCCGAGCCGTAGGCGAGGACTGGCCAACCACACGAGGAAAAAAACCCTATCGCAACAGCTCAGGAACAATATTTTTCTGTAGTGATTTTCAAGTTTTCGAGTTTGGGAAGTATGTAATACCAACTCCCAGACGAGAAATCGTGAGAAGCAGTACAGAAAAGTAATTTTTTTCCCAGTGTAGCTATCCATATGTGATGAGGAATGTGTGAATAGGGGAATTGGAAAGAATTGAGCTTCACGCAAGTTCTCTGTTGAGATAAATAATTTTTTTTCAGCAATCTGCAGTTAAGTACTGGCTGCAACAAGGTGCACCCAGGGAGAAACTCGTCCTCGGAATGCCACTCTATGGACGAGCCTTCACACTGGCGAATCCGTCAGATAATGGAGTTGGAGCTCCAGCTCGTGGCGCTGGTACTGCTGGACCTTATACTCGTGAGCCTGGAATGTTGGGGTACAATGAAATCTGCGAGACGCAAGCTCAAGGGGGCTGGAAAGTCGTTTACGATGAAGAACGTCGTGCGCCTTATGCGACTAAGGGAGATCAGTGGGTTGGATACGATAATGTCAAGTGAGTTAAACTACCATTTGATTTTCTCAGGTGTTGTGAAAAGGCAAAATAAAAAATCGAAATCTATTGACTTTTTCCGATCAAATATCAATAGAATCGGCGCAAAAAACAAATAAAATTTTAACGGGAATTCTCTAAAATTTTAATAGAATCCCCTAGAGAATTCCAATAGAATTTTCTAGCGAATTCGCTAAGGTTTTCTATCGAATTTGTCCACACGTGTAAATCTTGATTTCACCGTCACATTATGAACGTTCACTGGGAATCGAAAAGAATTGTTTGGCGGATGCTGAATGAAAAGGTGATGTCTTTTTTCGAAATGAGATAATATTCCTTAAAAAACAAGAATAGTTTGACAGAAGGAAAAGAAGATGTTGCTTCCCTCGAACTCAAAGCGTAAGCGACGGTTATATTTTTTTAATATCTGGAGGTTTTCCTCTGCATAAACTCTCTATTCATTCAATATGAAAGCCTCTGATTCATGATTCCCTCAATCAAAGCTTTTAATATTTTTAGTCATTTTCTCATCTTCTGACACGAAACAACCGATTTCTTGTGGCAAGAAATTCTCACTTTATCACGAAATGTTCATGTTCAAGTCATGAACACTTCACTGAAGTCTGACATTGTCTGACCCATTATCCGGAATTCTCATCCCAAAAAATTTATCCTCAAGAGATGAGATATTTGGCGCAAGAAATTAGTTTTGTGATATTATGACGATATTTCTCTCAGTGTGCCATCTAAATTTAGGAAAAAATTCTCTAGGAATATTTTTCCTCAACAGATCAATCCGCGAAAAGGCGGAACTCGTCAAAGATCTGGATTTAGGTGGTGCCATGGTCTGGAGTATAGAAACTGACGACTTCAAGGGACTCTGCGGTGAGAAATACCCGCTCCTTAAGACCATCAATGCAGTCCTTCGCGGTGGAAAGGCAGTTCCTGAGGAGGCAAGCCCACCAGCAGAACCGGAAGTAACAGAAGTGGCAGAGGTACCAGAAACTGCGGAGCCAATTGGAGATGAACCAACCTCCCGCCCAGGTCTTTGCACCCTGGCGGGAAACATCCCTGACCCAGACTCCTGTGGATTCATCGCCTGTGTCCCTAGTGTCAAGGGTAGATTCGAACAACATCCCATGCAGTGCGCTCCCGGCCTCTGTTTCAACCCATCCAATGGAATCTGTGACTGGATATAGAATCAATTCACCCATTCTTCAATCAATTCTGATTGATCATTCGTTAATGTCTCGATGAACTACTGTAGACAGATGCTAGATTTTGTAATAGAATATAAAGAATTTACTGCAAATCATTGATGTGTTTTCATTCGGTTAGAGTTTTAGTGTTGATGAACAGTGATAGGCATATCAATTAATCATAATTACCGTTAAATTGTGAAGTTGTCAATTGTTAACATAAATCTTGACATTTTTAATATTAAGGCCCGGGTGTACTATCTTTTGAATGTTATCTGGATTTTTTTCACCTTTCGTAATCCAAAATTGTCAACTGAGTGGTACATCATGTAGAAATTTCCAAAAATTATGATAGAATGATAAAAAAAATAGAAAAATACTGAACTTTGTCAAAGAGCGTTTTTAATTGAGATTCAGAATGAGTTGAAAAAAGTGGAAATTACAAATATCTGATTCGCTGTGGCAAATTATCTATTAGCTGTCATTTTCCATGGTGGATAACAAAAAACTAACTCCTCATGGGAAGTGACAGCTAGGTATTTCAATTTTCAAAACAGTGGTATGTAGTCATCTGCCATTTTTATGTGATAAAAGTGTGATTCAAAAATTCTCCAAAATATTAAAATTTTGTTCAAAGAGCTTTTCCGTAATAAATGTCTCTGTACAGTGTGGGAAAAGATTTACGAAATCAGTCTTCCCAATGCATGATATTGGGTGACAGGCCGCCATTTGTCACCGTAAGTCAGATACATTTGTGAATTTCTTGTTATTCAACTTATTCTGAATATTAATTAAAAATGCTCTTTGAAAAAATTGAGAATTTCTTCTACTTTTTTTTATTATTCATTCATAATTTTTCAAAATTTCTGCATGATGCAGGACTCAATTGACAATTTCAGATGACGAAAGATGAAAAAAAACATCGAGATAAGGTTCGAAAGATAGTACACCCAGACCTTAAATTTCGAAATATTCGGCCAAACAATAATTTAGGTAGGAAGATTGACGATTATTTGGATAATCGAAAAATCAAGTACCTAAATTTAGAATTAGCTTGTTCACTAAAAAATGACATTTCAATATTATCAAATATTTTATTCACCATCAATCGGATAATTTTGTCAATAAATTTTATAATATTTCAAATTTATTAAATATAGTTAAACTTTAAACAATATAATGAGATAATCCCCTTTGAATATAATCAAAATCTAATATTATTGCTCATCCCTGATGATGAATTAAGGCCCAATTGGATTATTTCTCGAATGTTATCTAGATTGTTTTTTGTCGATTTTTTTATCCGGAAATTTCCATTCAGTTCTGCATGAAGCGGAGAACCGCAAAAAATCCAGATTTATGATGAAAATAAGGAAAATTTTGAAAGAGCATTGTTAATTTCTGTTGAGGAATCATGCAAATAATGAGAAAATTAGGGGAGGGTCGGGCAAAATGGGACATGTTTGAGATCTTTTCCAATTGTCAATATCTTCATTTATAAGCGAAAATATTGACAACTGGAGAAGATCACGAAACGTGCCCCTAACGCTCGACTCTCCTCTAGAAATGTATCATTCAGACAACTGATCCAGAAAAGGCTCTTTCAAAATTTTTCCAATATTTTCAAAAAATTTTGACTACCCCTTTACTGTGAAATAATGATCACTCACGGCGTAAAACTGTTATTAAACTATAAAATTTACGATTTTTCTCTTTTTTTCATTTCCATCAATTCCATTGATTGTAAGCTTCCCAATGGATGCACTGTTATCTGCTGGATTCATTGAAAACAATAAAAATCCATTGACTTGAACAAACAATTCGTCGGAAACATCAGACGATCATTTCTTCGACACAATTATCCAATTAGAGGGCTGCCCACTTCAAGATCGATGGATTAATCATAAGATCCATCAATGCTTTTATTTCATTTTCAAGAAAAGAGGGGAGGTGGAGAACGCAGATTACGGCCCCCAATAATTTTTTATCGATTGATATTATCGTGCGGCGAGGGTGGGCGATAAAAAATAATCATCGGTCAGTCGAGGAATTGGATAAATACGGATTTTTCGTCCGGTGAGACGTTGTATCAAAAGATACATCAAGGTGAGTGTCTCATTGAATTGTTGCGCATTTTCAAGAGAGTCACATGAATTTTAATTAATTAGTGTCACCTCGTGATCAGGATTATCCGCGTAATTAATGATCTATTGAACTATTTTTGTTCCTAGATGCGCAACCTCTGGTTTCTCGTTAGCTGTCTGGCATTGATCGCAGTCAGTGCTGCACGTGGTAAGTGACAGAAAGTTTTATTTCAGAAGCGAAGTCAAATGGTTTGAGTCGGCTTAGCTCTTAGCTGAGTTTTCGAGGAATATCTCAAAATCTAAGGGAGACAGCGAAATTTTTGTATATATCTTTTTTGAAGCTCTTAATGTACTCTACCGAAAAGGTCATGACAGAAATTTTGCTATCTGCCTTAGATTGCGGGATATTTACTGAAAAGTCATGAGCAGTCAAAATCGACTTAAAGCGTTTGACCACTTCGCTACTGATTTCATAAATAAAGATCGTACACTGAGAGAAATTTTCTAGAAGAATTCGCGTATGAGTACTGGAAAAAATCACAATCCACCCGCTGTGAAGAATTCTAGTGCTGTTAAGGTAAAATTTCTTGGTATTTCTGGTAAAATTTCTGTGAAATTTTCACAGAAATACGGGGAAATATTCACGTTTTTCCCCATAAAATTTCTCTCCGTGTAGTTCGAACGTTATAAAGATGAAATAAAATTTTCTTTTTCCATATTTTTTGTTCGCGAGGAATTGGGATTTTTTTTCAGTAGTTAAGCGAGAAAAGTCTGATGAGCCCGATTCCTTTTGCCAGAAAATGTCGCGGCAATCCCGAGACTCCCGAGGTCTCGAGGATTCCGAGTCGGAATGAGGGGCGTAAACATATTTATCAGAGGAAATTTTTCACCGAGACATTTTTTCAAGCTGTAAAAAATGTTTTCTGACGTTTTTCGCCGGCAAATCCCCGCGGAGGTGACCAACTCGAAGGGTCGCGTACGGTAACCATTATTATCTCCACAAATGAATCCCAATTGAGATAGTACTCGGTCATGATATTCCAACTCTTCATGACTCACACTGAGAAAAAAAATCATTTCAAGTTAAGTTAAGGTTTCAAAGGGTCAAAACACCATTTATAACGAGCAGGAAGTAACAGACAGGCATTGACCTAAAAAAATGATCGATGATTGAAGAATTATCGATCAAAAATAAATGTTGCCATTATATTTATCTTATCAATAACTGACATCACAAAAAGTCCACGTCAGCACTGAGACGGCGGTTTCCGCCGGAGTATTTCATGAAGAATCTTATAAAACTTTTTCATTTCATTTCCCATCTGATAAAACGCCATCTTCCTACTTTTATCATCTATCAATATTCTTTTCGTAAACCTATATGCAGATATATTCGCCGTAAACAACAATGCTCACAATTTTTAAATTCTTGGCTGAGAGCCCTCGGACGATGACCAGTTGCAATCTAATAGAAAAACCCAGCGAATTCGTTAGAAAATTCTATTGGATTTCTATTAGTTTTTGGACGATTCTATTGAATTGTTGAATAGAAAATATTCAATAGAAACAGTTAATAGAATTTGATTTTTCTAGATAACTTTTACTCTTCAGACAGTTTCTATAGAATTTTTTAGAGTTTTTTTGTTTGATCAAGAGACTCCCGCTCGACAAATGAAACCGTGAGATTTGGAGGGTCACAAATTTTGGCCCCCCTCAGCCAGAAATCAGACCTGGGGGCCTATTCTCGAAATATTTCCATGCGCAGAATCGACTCCGTTGACGGAACGCCTATATGATTCCTATACGCAATTCGTCTACGAAGCCACTTCCGTGCACGGAAATATTTCGAAAATAGGCCCCCTGGGTGGCCCGCATGCGAATCCCACACTCTAAGCACACAACCACTGCCATCGGTCAATGGATTTGTATTTTTCTAGAACAATTTTTTCAGCAAAATTAACTGTCCCTTTTCATGCGGACGTCCACAATTATTAACGGGACTCAATATGATTCGAGTCGTGAGCGAAACATGGCAAAATGACAATATATAAATACTAAGGGGCTCCACTCCCTGCTCGCTCCGCTCGCTTCGCTCGCTCCTCCCCCATTCGTGTGACCGCAACTCCCTTCACCGGAATTCACTGTCGAATATCCCCTCCGTGAAATGAAACCGGCATTGATAGAGATCTTTTTTTAACATTCAAATATGAAAATACAAATTCAGCGTTTCAATCCCCGTGAATTCAAGAGAAGAAGTTCCAAAAGTAATCAGCATTTTTTCTGTTATATATGAGGATAATATTGGGCGGAATATTTTTAAAAGTTGCAACTGGAGTGTCTCCTAAATGGAATGGAATTTCAGCTGAAAAAAAGCAGAACTTCGAAGATTTTTTGAGACAATATTTCATATACAGATTTGGTGGAATCACTGGATATCCCCCCCCTTATTTGTTATTATATCGAGAGATATAGAGAGACAAATGATCCTTTTATTTTCTCCAATCTCTTGAAACCATTTTCAATGTTCGAGAACAGTGGAGATGAACCAGAACCTTAGAAATAAATTCATTTATGTCATCAGGCCCAACGACATAAAATATCGTATGTCACACGGCGATAAAAGCATTATTTGACGAATGTGATTATAATCCGAACCGAAGGCGAACTCACATTCGCCAGATAATACTTTTATCGCCTTATGACATAAGATACTATTTCCGGCCTGTTGCGATGGGGTTTTTTACTCGTATGACGTTGGCCTCCGAGCCGTAGGCGAGGACTGGCCAACCACACGAGTAAAAAAACCCCATCGCAACAACCCAGGAACTAGTATTTTTCCGGCCTGTTGCGATGGGGTTTTTTACTCGTATGACGTTGGCCTCCGAGCCGTAGGCGAGGACTGGCCAACCACACGAGTAAAAAAACCCCATCGCAACAACCCAGGAACAATATTTTTCTGTAGTGATTTTCAAGTTTTCGAGTTTGGGAAGTATGTAATACCAATTCCCAGACGAGAAATCGTGAGAAGCAGTACAGAAAAATATTTTTCTGTAGTGATTTTCAAGTTTTCGAGCTTGAGAAGTATGTAATACCAATTCCCAGACGAGAAATCGTGAGAAGCAGTACAGAAAAAGACTTTCTTTTGCAGAAAAAGTCGTCTACTGCTACTTCGGTAGTTGGGCAGTATATCGTCCAGGAAAAGGACAATTCCAAATCTCGAACATAGACACATCCCTCTGCACCCACTTGGTCTACACTTTTGTGGGCCTCGAAGGTGAAAACGTGAAGGTTCTCGATCCTTGGCAGGACCTCCCTAATGACTGGGGCAAGGATGGCTTCAAGCGTTTCAACGACCTGCGCCTGAAAAGCCCTGGACTCAAGACGCTGATAGCCATGGGGGGATGGAACGAGGGATCAATCCAATACTCTCAGATGGCTTCTAAGCCAGAAACACGTAAGGGCTTCGCTGAAAATGTGGTAAAATTCGTCCTGAAGCATGGATTCAACGGTTTCGATCTCGACTGGGAGTACCCGGCCCAGCGCGGAGGAGCTCCTGAAGACCGCAAGAATTATATTGAACTCCTGAAGATCTTGAGGTCACGTTTCGACGAGGAGGGACTGATTTTGAGTGCCGCTGTAGCTGCTGCTGAGTTTTCCGCCAATAAATCATTCAATATACCTGAGATGAGCAAATACTTGGACTTCATCAACATCATGGCTTATGATTTTCATGTTGCGAAGGACCTTGTCACGGGACTGAATGCCCCTTTTCTGGCTTCTCCTTCTGACACTCCGAAAGACAAGCAATTGACTGTTGTAAGTATTTTAAGATTTCGTTTGCTTCCGAGTGGAAGTATTGTCATCCATGAAATTCAAATTTTCACGGTTTTGGGGGTAATATGTGGTTGTTTTTGCGTACGCGTGAGTTAAGCGAAGCTCACTTTTAAAAAAATTCGAAATTCACTTTACGCATGCTCTTGAACGCTACGGCATTTTCGTCCTCGCCCTTTTTTCCTTGACATTTTTCCCGCAAAAATTCTTCCCATTTTTGCAATTAATTTTAATAACAAAGAATAACAGAAAACAAATTTTTTTTCACAATTTTTCGTAAATTATAAAGAAACGAGGCGGCTTAAACGGGTGAGATATACCGTATAGTCATTTGCATTGAAGTGTAAAGCAACTCGTTTCGATCGAGTATCAAAATTTTTATACTTCTTCTTCGGTGGATCCTCACCACCAATTCTGCAAGACCTTGTTTGGTTTGTATCAATTGAATAAACTTCCAAATGTAGCTGTAGGGGAATTTTTATTCTGCTCATTGAAAATGTTACAGCCACGCATTGATGCGTGTCACTGATGATAATAACAATGCATGAGGATTGTTATTGAAGTTAAATACTGAATAATTTCTTTCATCTTCGTGAATAAATTCACATGCGGAAATGGAAGGAAATCGACGGGGAGAAAATTAGAATTTGCATGTGTTTTGAGGAAAAAATGCCACGAGGAAATTTTGGGGGGAAAGTTTGTCGGAGAAATTGTGTCTTGGAATAATTGAGCTGTTTTTCCTCAGCAAGCTGCAGTTAAGTACTGGTTGAAACAAGGTGCCCCCAAGGAGAAACTTGTCCTCGGAATGCCACTTTATGGACGATCCTTCACACTGGAGAATCCGTCAGATAACAGAGTTGGAGCTCCAGCTCGTGGCCCTGGTATGGCTGGACCGTACACTCGCGAGCCTGGAATGCTGGGGTACAATGAAATTTGTGAGATGCACGCCATGGGTGGCTGGAAGGTTGTTTTTAATATGGAACATTTTGTGCCTTATACCACCATGGGAAACCAGTGGGTTTCATACGATAACGTCAAGTGAGTTGATGTTCACATTCGATTTTCAAGATAATAGGGTGAATGATTCTGAGGGATGACCATTTAGAAACTTAAGGATAAGTCCTGTATCATCCCCGGAGTCTCTACTCGATCAAACCTAGATGTTTTGAAGGTATAAATCACATGGAAAGCGGAAAAACCTCAGCGAATTCTCTAGAAATTCTATGGGGATTCTATTAAAATTGTAGAGAATTGAGAGAGTTGATGTTCACATTCGATTTTCAAGATAATAGGGTGAATGATTCTGAGAGTTGACCATTTAGAAACTTAAGGATAAGTCCTGTATCATCCCCGGGCTCTCTACTCGATCAAACCTAGATGTTTTGAAGGTATAAATCACATGGAAAGCGGAAAAACCTCAGCGAATCCTCTAGAAATTCTATGGGGATTCTATTAAAATTGTAGAGAATTCTCGGTAATTAAGTAACAGCACCTTGAATTTCTGAGGGATACTGATAGGTAAATATTAAGTTTTAATATATGATCTTGAAGTATTTCGACGTATAATGCGCCGGAAACTGGCTGCTATAAATGAATTCAGTAGCGAAGTGGTAAAATGGTTTAAGTCTTAGTTTTGAGGCTTTCGCGGCCATGATTAATGACATCTTTGGCTTCCGGATGGATGCCGCGTTGAGTTTCAGCATTGCGCCGACGTTTCGCAAACATTGCAGTCTGCATCTTCAGGGCTATGAGTTCCGATTCTGAGCTCCGATGTCTAGAGGTAATCCTTATATGCCGTCCCTTGTGGAGGTGGGGGAAGGGGGGGGGGGTCAGCCATTCGTATGTTTTTAATTGATCAGCTGGTCATGGTTTAAGTCTTAGTTGAGTTTTTGAAGAATATCTCTGAATCTATGTAAAGGAGATAATGAAATTTGCGTAATAACCTTTTTTTTTGGGCAAATTGAGTGCTACAAAAAAGGTCTGTTTAAAACACAGCAATAGTTTCCTATCTAATGGCACCGGGCTTAACGAAAATTCTCGAACGATCTCGGGACCCTTCGGGTTCACGGTCAGATCACGAAGTAAATCACCCATCGAGTTCAGTATATTATCGTCTCAATCTTTGTACAGTCAGTATTGTCGCAATCGCTCTATCGAGTACATCACCGAGTACATCACCGTGAGATACTGAGTTAACGCTCCTAGTAGCGTCTCTATTCGAGTCAATCATCTATTAATTTCGAGTCAATTATCAATCATTTTGAGACTATAATCAAGTGAATTATCAAGAGAATTATCAAGTGCAGTGTAGAGACTATTATCGAATTTAAATTGAGACAATTCAACGAACAGTGTACCCTTATAAAATTTCTAGACGCGTGGTTTACACCACAAATAAAGTATATCGCCAGTGGGTTTTTAGTAAATCGCGTGTTCTTAATTTTCACACCTTTTCCAAATCACGTGTCCCCGATCCGCCCTAATATTAGCCTCAATCTCAAACAAGGTCTGGGCAAAAATTGAGCTATCTCCCTTAGATTCCGAGATATTTACTAAAAACTGGCCAATAGTCAAAATCGACTTGAACCGTTTCACCACTTCGCTACTGAATTTAACCTCCTTGAGCTATTACAAAGGTCAAAATTTGACCCAGCCTTCCCCTTCAAATTATTTACCTAATTGAGTCTGACTCAATTTTCTTGTTGATTTCAATTTCTTTTTTCATTTAATGATGTAATAATTCAGTTTCCTCGCAAAATTCTTGAAAGGTCATATATTTTCAGATTACCGAATTCTCATATGCAATACCACAAGAGCTTCAAAATCATCAGGGAAATACTCAGGGAAGAGAATTTTTCCGTCCAAATTTCGGCCAAGAGAATTGCACTATGAGACAAAATCCATCTGTCAGTCCCCATCAGGGGCTCATTCGACCAGGAAATCTTTTGTATTTCACATATATATATCAACATGAAAAATTACCAGTTGAATTATCAAAAATTATCAGCTGAATACCGTGTTGACTATATAAAATAACAGTTGAATAGTGACATTCTATATTGGCTGAAATTTGGATGGGAAACAAATAGAATTCTCGCTCAAATTCTGTTTGTCTTTTGCGCAAATTCAATTTCAAATTGAGCTTTAACCATTTTTTTCTCAAGATCAATCCGTGAGAAGGCAACGCTCATCAAAGATTTGGATCTGGCTGGCGCCATGATATGGAGTGTGGAGGGTGATGACTTCGGGGGAGTCTGTGGTGAGAAATATCCCCTTCTCAAGACCATCAATGCAGTCCTTCGAGGTGGTAAACCAGTTCCTGAAGAGCCAACCCCACCAGTAAAGCCAGAATCAACGACATCACCTCGCCCAAGCCTTTGCACGACAGACGGACCCATCCCGGATCCTGGTTCCTGTGGATTCATCATGTGTGTTCCAGATGACTTCGGTGGATTTGTCGAGCACGCCATGCAGTGTGCGCCTGGGCTGTGCTTTAACCCAGCCGTTGCAGCCTGCGATTGGCCACTCAATTAATGAACATAACTTCAAATTAATTGTGATTGAAGCCTCGCCATAGTCTCGATTATCTGGTTTTGCAGATGAATATCTCATTCTTTTCACATTACAAAATAAAAATAATTGATGCGAAAAAGAGTTTTTGTTCTCTTATTGATGAGAATTCCGTTGACCATTTTTTTTCGATCAATTGGGTGATGAAACAAATTGAAATTGAAATCAACTTTCGGTAAACCAACTCTGCAGAAAACGTTCCATTAATTTTCAATTAAATTGAATCATATTGAGTGATTTTAAGATTACACATGTATTGTATCTAGGAAATGTTTATTTACTTATGTATATATGGAAGTATCGGGAAATTGTGGCGCATAGAACAACTTCTTCTCGACCTCTGGGATTTCAGTTCGACTCTTATTCACAGGAGTGAGATGAATAATACTGTTTGTCAATTCCACTGGGCGTAGAGAGCCGAAAAAATCGGTCACTGGAACTTTTCTCGTGTCTCTTTTGAAGAGATCTGTGCGAACACCCACTTTGGACAGGCAGGCTGATTGCGGACATACTTTCAACTGGAAAGTAAAGATTCAATCCGTTATTAGAAGTCCAATTGTGAATTAAAACCCAATCGTCAACTTTTTTTCAACTTTTTTTGATTATTCATTCCTAATTTTTCAAAACTTACGCATGATGCAGGACTTAATTGACAATTTCAGATGACGAAAGATGAAAAAAAACATCGAGATAACATTCGAAAGATAGTACACCCGGGCCTTAACGTTGTATAAATCTTTGGTTTATTAAATAATTTTGTTGACCAACTATCGTTCAAATGTACCGGTAAATATTTCAAAATTGTTTTTCATTTACTACAATTGATTTGATATAAATTAAATAGAATATAACTAATTCAGTAGCAAAGTGGTAAAACAATACGAGTCAATTTCGACTATTGACCAGTTTTCAATGAATATCTCGAAATCTAAGCGAGATAGCAAAATTTTTGTTATAATCGGTTTTGTAGAGCCGATTGAGAGCTACAACAAATGTAATTACAAAAATTTCTCTACCTCTCTTAGATTCGGAAATATTCCTCAAAAACTCAACTGGGAGATAAGACGACTTAAACCGTTTCACCACTTCGCTACTGAATTAGTTGACAGAGACTGGCGCAACTCCGTTGAATACTTACAAATTCGTTGAGCGTTTTGGTCCCTGATGGCTCGACTGTCTCGAGGAATTCTAGCGCATAGAAGGTGTAACGATCGATTATATACACTCCGATGTTTGGATCCACATGATGCTGGTAATGAATGAATTATAACAGAATTATTCAAAGGGAAAATATAAAATTGTTGTCAGTGATATTCAATACGAAAAAATATGCGGGTGGCTGTGTCTTTGATACAGTCGTAATTTTACGTGGATACGCCGTCCCCTTCCTGCACTGAACATCATAAGTCTTATATGAGAACTCATTTAATTGTACTCATATAGGAGAACACAGGGATTTCGCACCGTCTTGTCATGATAAGACGGTTTTTATAATCACGATACGATTGAATTGATATATATAAACAAAATCCCTAAACAAACGTTGAACATATTTTATTCACAACGAAATCGTCACATATACACAAACACCCTTGCGAATTTTAACACGAATTTTATCCACAAATTTTATCTATTTCGTCCAATAATAACCAAGTATCGGCATATTGGGGACCAGCGCTATGTCCTTTTTCATAAAGTTGATTAACAATGAATGATTGTTTTGATTGGTAACTTTTTATTCGCCTTGCCATTGGTTGATGGATCAATCAATGATTTCCATGACTACGAGGATATTATTGTACGTTACAGCGCTCATTTGAAGGTGGTCACGCACGACAGCGCACATGATTACCTAGTTTCTCAAAATTGCCATTTATTTCTGAAAAAAACTGGAGAATTTTCTCGAATTTTCCTTTTTCATAAAGTTGATTGACAATGAATAATTGTTTTGATTGTTAACTTTTTATTCGCCTTGCCATTGGTTGATGGATCAATCAATGATTTCCATGACTACGAGGACATTATTGTGCTTTACAGCTAGAGATGCAAAATGACCGTAATTTTTTAGATCGCGTCATATGACCAAAAAATTACGGCTTTGTGACGGTCATGTGACGCACAAATTTTCCAACTACAAATGATTGTCACAAATCATTTGTAACCAAATTGTTGTCAAACTATCTATATAGTTGTATAATGACGGTCATAACTAATTTCCAATTTGTGACGGTCATGAATAAAACAAAATAGTTTCATCTATATGGATGGGAAAAAACGTGATTTCCATTTCAAAATGCGGATTAGGCCAATACAAAAGGAATTCAACTGAAAATTGACCGAGAAAAAAATAAAGTTTCATCTATATAGATGAAAAATGACCGTCATTTTTCTTGACAAGGTCACATGACCGTCATATGACGCATTTGCATCTCTAAAAAATTTCAAATTTGACCGGTTTTTCGTTGCAAGGGTTAACTTGCCAACGCGGCCATCACCCGAGGGCCTTCAGCCAGGGAATGTTGAATGTGGAGTGGATTTTTCAGTTGAAAATTCCGTGGAATATTCGGTTTGAAAATTGTGTTGAATTTTCAGTTGAATATTATGTGGAAAATTGTGATAAAAATTGCTGTGGAATTTTGGCCCGGCCGGGGCTCGAACCTGGGAGCTTGAGGTTGTGAATCTCATGCTGCTACCAAGTGCGCCACACAGCCGGGTTTGCATCTCTATTTACAGCGCTCACTTGAAGGTGGTCGCACGCGACATTGCGCATGATTGCCTAGTTTCTCAAAATTGCCATTTATTTCTAAAAAAAACTGGAGAATTTTCTCGAATCTTCTACAAAAATCTGACTTTTCTAGAAAAATCTGGAATGTTCTAGAATTCCGATAGATGGCGCCACCGCCGATAAGGAACCATAAGGACTTTTTCCCCAAAAGCCCCCCCATAATGAAAACAGACGTATCCACGTCAAAGTTTTCATAAACTGACGATTTTAAATTTTCAAACTCACGGAAAGTGAATCCTCCCCCACTTGACTCGACGCCACAGCCAAAATATTCGGCGAGTAGAATTTTTCGTACATGGAGCTAGCCTGGCAAGTATCGACGACGAATAAAATCTCATGGTAACGTCGCTTCTGCCACATCTGCTCGAGAGCATCACTGAGATCCTGACTGGTGATCTCCTCAGAGTCTTGGAATTTGAGGAATCCATTGCCCCCGTGACCAGTCAGGTAAATAAGGATGTTTGAGCCCTCGTCAGTGAGGAGTTTTTTGGACCGGGGCGTCTCAGGGGGCAGTCTTCCCGTCAACAATCTGACGAAATTCTCGACCGTCACCTCGTAGCCCCTGTAATCCACCTCGACATCGTCTCCGTAGACATTGATGTGTTGCTTGATGTTGTTGAAGACAGTCGCTGGACGCGGGTTCCTGGGATTGCAGGCCATATCGTCGGCGATCATGAGGATTATCTGGGAGTCGGGGATTCCCAGACGTTTGACGGAGCGGTAGATTGATAGGACATTGGCCACGTGGCGATAGTTGAACCAGAAGCGAGACGTGTCGACTAGAACTGCCCAGTTGTTCGAGTGACTGGTTTTACTGAAGTTTTCTGGTATCTGGGAATTTAAGGGTGCCAAGTGAATTTGGCGATGACCTTGAAAATTGACATTCACCAACGAAGTTATAATTTTTTTAATTAATAGTATTAGACAGATGGTGAACATCGGTGACAATTTTAAAATTTAGAACTTATGGATATCGAGAAAGTAAATAAACAAAATCAGTCTTATACACGGCCTCTTATGGAGTTTTGATTAAATTGAACGTTTCAACCTCCTAGGAACTCAAGAAAAATTTGAAAAAATTTGAAGATATGGGGAATGATGTGTTCAATGTGATGGCGACAAAAAACAATGGGGTACCGGGGTGAATAAGAGAGATATTTCAACCCGTCGTACCCATTTGATCCCATGCTTTCTCGAGGTTCGTCACGCGAAATAGAGGATTTTCCGCATTTATTTTCTCGATGTCTAGTTCCGGTTGCGGGTTTGAAATTTCGTCGGATGGATGAATACATATTTCTCCAATGATGGAGGGAAAGAAAAAATTTTTTTTGAATCTTTTTTCAAATTCACTTGGCACCCTTAAGGGGTTTCTTGTGTAGATCACGGGGGGCGAAAGGGGAGTCTTATTATTCTCGATCCCTAATTCATTCCGGATAATGTGTCAGACAATGTCAGATTTCGGTGAAGTATTCATGATTTAAATATGAACATTTCATGATAAAGTGAGAATTTCTTGCCACAAGAAATCGGTTTTTTCGTGTCAGAAGATGAGAAAATGACTAAAAATATTAAAAGCTTCGATTTTGAGTGAATCATGAATTAGAGACTTCCATATTGAATGAATAGAGAGTTTATGCAGAGGAAAACCTCCAGATATTAAAAAAATATAACCGTCGCTTACGCTCAATCGCTTTGAGTTCGAAATATCTTCTTTTCCTTCTGTCAAACTATTCTTGTCTTTTAAGGAATATTATCTCACTTCGAAAAAAGACATCACCTTTTCATTTAGTAACTTGCTCCTTATTTATTGTCTGATTTATTGTCGGCCGATTTATTGTCTGAAACCTACCATAAATTGATCAAATATGTACGCGATGTTTTTCACTCAAGAAATGATTTTTGTGATATTATGTCGATTTTTCTCTTAGTGTAGTTATTTTCTACTAAAGAGACACTGAGTGAGCTAAATGTAAAAAGGACAAAATTCCAAAAGATGTTTTTGTCTTAAAAATGGAAAATTTTCAATACAAAAACATGAAATTGAAAATTTCGTAACATTGTTTATTGATCTTTGTTATGACCAGTTCGATGTAAATAAAATTCCTAACCCGTCGTTCACAGTAAGACAGAGTAAATGGCTCATCTCACCTGCCAGGGTTGAATTTTCGTGACAAAACACACCACAACAACAAGAAAAACGTTGAAACTCATGTTATTAACTCACTAAACAATGGTTTCACACCCTAAAAAACTTGTTACTGACTAATTCCGGTTGTTTGTGACATGCCGAAAGCATTAGACAGCTCTCAGGTGATTACCGCAGCGTGTTGCACGATTTCACGTCAGATGGCGCGAGCGAGCGGTCGAACTTGCGCGGCACGACGGCACGAGTTTTTGTTGTTCTGCCGTTAAACATCATGTTTTCATCATTTTTTGCTTCCGCATGGAAGCTTTGTAGTCGTTCAAACTTAAGTTTAGGTTTATTTGTGTTGTATCGACCCGGTAGGATCTAAAAAGCCCAAAAATGCAATTTTTAGACCTCGTCCGTGCGTGTGTGTGCGTGTGTGTACGTTGTCACGAAGTTTTTCTTCAATTGTTCGCTAATGAATGCACGGAATTGAAGATTTTTTTCAAGTCTAGGTATGGCTGAGTCCCATCAATCGTCATTAATTAAAATTTAATTCAACGATTTCAATTTTCATCGTTTTTTTAATTTCCGAATTTTTTCGGAAATCTGTTGTCCCTTGATAACTAGGAAAAATGTTTTGATTTTATTGAATGATGGCTTAGAAAGTTTGTTTGGAGGCCCTTTTGACCGATTTCGAAGATGAAGACGATCGCAATAATCATTATTTTTATTTATTTTCAAATTTGCAAAAAATTTCTATTTTTTGAAAATCAGAATTCCGGGATATCTTTGAATATTATGCTTCAAATAAATTCAATCACTGCTTAAAATTTTTGTTTCAATACCATTAAGTCGCAGTTAAAAAATGATTGTGATGGCTATATTGGTTGATTTGAGTTTCATGATGATTGTTGAAAATTTTGAATTTTTCATGAATTTCCCTGAAAGCGAGCTTTCTGATGGTTTCTTCATACGTGTGCAGGGATAACTATAGACTGACAGTCGACGAAATTCTGGTGAGTCTTTTCTTCTAATTTTTTTTTTTATTTTTAACATGCAAAAGAATTCGATTTTTAATCGAAAAAATAGTTGTGAGCAAAGTCCACATTAATAGGTTAGGGTAAAACGGACACTTTTGACTTTTTAAAAAATGTTAATGAGGGGTTGAAATGTTGATAAAATTTAATATTTTTTTTCTTCAATACAAAGAACAATTCTTTCCCTTTGTGACGAGCCTAAACAGAGCTCAATTGATCAATTTGTTTCTGAGTTATAAATAATTAAAAAAGTCTAAAGTGTCCGTTTTACCCCACCCTCCCCTATTATTAATGATATTGAAACCTCCCACGAAGAAACGAAAAATACCTTGAGGTAATAAAAAAACCCCAAATCGAGGTGACATTATTAATAATTTATTTAAACATTTATACACCTAGAATGTTCCACAGTCTTTAATGTAGTTTCGGATAATTTTTATCAACTAGATAAAGCGTTAATGCCTAGAACGTGATTCTTCTTTCATTTCATATTTTTCACGGGGTTATCAAACGCTACCAATAGGTACCTAATAAATTCACATTTCGTTCAGTTTTTCGTCGATGAACAATCGAAATAATTATCGAATCATTTGTCCAATTACATTCATACAATGTCAGTTGTTGTCGACCGTATTATTGTATTTTATATTCAAATAATCGGTCGTGCGGTCACGTAAGACTTTGATAAAGAAATCATAAAAAAAGTCTAGTCAGTCTAGACTAGGGAAATTGATATGTTGACACCTGGATGTTTACGACAGGATCATGACGAGGATCCGCAAATGGATCGAAACGTTGGCTGATTTATGACTAGAATTTGTTTATAATTTTTTCCTCAAACCCATACGGAAAAATGTATATTCTGAAAATTATATATTTTATACATGGAATTGGCGTGATTTATGTATAAAAATTATATAAAATATAAATTTATATCCGTTTCTTTTATATTTATATAAATTTATAAATATGTAAATTTTTAATTGATATTTTATAGAATTTTTATAATATAAATGAAACGTATATAAATTCATATTTTATATACATCTCTATATATTATAAAAATTAAAATGGATTTCTGGTGATAAAAATTTGGTACTCGAAATTAAGACTCCACAATTAAGGGTCACAAGGGTCAGAATAAGGGTCATGAGGGAAAAATAAGGGTTACGAGGATAATATTAAGGGTCGTGAGGGTCAGAATAAGGGTCATAAGGGTCAGAATAAGGGACACGAGAGTCACATTAAACGTCCCAAGGGTGAAAATGGTGGTCATAAGGGCCATAAGGGTCAGAGTAAGAGTCACAAGTTCAGAATTATGGTTATGAGTGTCAGAATAAGGGTCACAACGGTCAAATTAAGGGTTACAAGGGTCAAAATAAGGTTTACGAGGATAAGATTGAGGGTCACAAGGGTCAGATTCAGGGTCGTAAGGGTCAGATTAAAGGTCACATGGGTTAGGTGTATAATAAGGGTCAGAATGAGGGTCACGAGGGTGAGATTAAAGGTCACAAGAGTCAGAACAAGGATTAGGAGGGTGATATAGGGGTCCCCTATGGGGGTTGAAGAGTGGAGCGAGCAGGATGCGCAGCCTCCTAGTCTTATATATATTCGAAGAATATATTAAATTGGCCTATATTATACATATTTTTCCGTGGGGAAAGTCTCACGTGGCCGCAAGGCCGATTATTCAAGCCCAAAATATTCATATAATTTCCATTATTGTATAATTTCTCATTATAAATTAATCCTTAATCAATCTTGACTGCAACGAGCCCTCTGGCCTTGTTTCATAATGAATATTTTTTATTGTCTCATAATGAATATGTACGTAAAATGGTCTGGTATACCGATCTTGCAATTTTTCATGCATTACGTACATTTTTTCAAGTTTTTAATCTCTCTTTTCTTACTTTTTCTCATTCGAAATCTCTCGTCTCTCGAGTAAATACAATGTCCTCGTCGTTATGATAGCCATAAATAGTTACTAGAATAATTTATATTAAAATTTCTATCTCGTATCGTACAGGAACTATAGAGGTATCTACTCGATTTTTTAAATTCTATCAGATAATTATCTTCCTTTCTTTTACATTGAATATACGATTCAACTTTGCGCCTTTTTACTCGTCGATTTATTATTGTTGGATTTTTTAGGCTTGTCAATTCAAAGATTAGCTGTAACGTCGTCTAATTGTCGGCGGGGCTCCATAATTCAATATGAAGTCCTTCGAATTTGCCAGTGACAGCAAACAAAACCCGCAAACAATTTTGTTTTCAATAGAAATAAAGTTATGCCGTTTTATATGTGCGGAAACAGGTCCTTGGTGACCGAAAACTAGGTCATTGACGGTAGTTTTGTGTATTTGTTGATGATGATTTAAAAACTTGATGTAGTACACTGAGAAAAAAAAATTTTCTATTGAGAAAAACGCGCAGGTGCGGGTAAAAAGGAATTTTTAATACAGACCCATGAGAATTTTCTAGAAAATTTCGCAGGCATTTCTGTCAAATTTTTTTTTGTGCGGAGAATTTTGACTGCTAGCTGTTGAGATAGATTTTGAGAGTTCAATCCCTCAATTGACAATCCTCAAATATTTTTTTTGAAATACAGAATACATCTATTCATGCTTATAGACACTAATACACTCAAGATTCGAAAAACTGGTACAGGATATGTTAAGAGACTGGGTATTACATGTAATCTACTGTCATTTCGTTAAAATTGGAGTTACAATTGAATATCTCAGAGAGAATTTCCTTTCCAAAATTGAAATCTGAAAAGTCAGAATTTTTTTTATCCAAATTTGTGTTATAATTTCTGTAGCACCTTTTACGTGGTCCACGTGTGACGGTCGTTTATCCCCCGTTGAGGGGTTCCTCACTCCAGGATTGAATGACGTCATGATTTTTGACTATGATTTTTACTATTTTATCTAGACGATTTCGTTGACTTTAAATTATTCAAATTAATAAATAATATTAATTATTTTTTTACTTAATTAATTAAGATTAATTAATAATTTTTGCAATTTTATCTAGACGATTTCGTTGACTTTAAATTATTCAAATTAATAAATAATATTAATTATTTTTTTACTTAATTAATTAAGATTAATTAATAATTTTTGCAATTTTATCTAGACGATTTCGTTGACTTTAAATTATTCAAATTAATAAATAATATTAATTATTTTTTAATTAATTATTCTTTTTTTAAATTATTTCATTGGTTGAGAATTGATTTCAGCCCTCGATTCTCACGTGGGGTACAAATACGAAACGCCCCAAACGTTTTTCAATAATTTTTTTAGTACTCCATTAGATAAAAACGAAATTGAGAAATTTTCAATCTAGCACGGATCAAAAAATTTAAGCGAAAAACCTAGCGAATTCGTTAGAAAATTCTATTGGATTTCTATTGAACTTTCTTTGAAAAAAGTCAATAGGATTCCATTTTTCTATATAACTTATTCGATTGAGATATTTTCTATAGAATTTCCCCGGCTTAAATTTTCCACGTTTTGTTGCTTGATTTTCTGGATGGGAAAAAAAGAAAAATAGAATGAATCAAAGCTACTCTGTACTTCGAACTTCAATGTAAAATTTAATAGAGTTGAAGTTTATTTGTTAATATTTCCTCCAACTCTAGTTTCCCTCTATAAAAAGATACCCCCACAATTCTGTTGGAAAATGCATGTTGACAATTTTATTTGACTTTTGAATAGAATCAACTTTTTCGGTTGTCCATTTTACCCCACTCTTGAGTAATTTTTTGGTTGTGGGCTTTACCAAGAAGCAATTTTTCAAAATTCGATTATTGAGAATTTTTTGAGCGTCCACTTTAGTCCATCCTATAGAAATTTATCAGGTGTCCAGATTGTCCAATGAAACAATTTCAAAAAATCTGAATTTTGAAAAAAAATCTGCGGCTGGCTGTATCTTTGACACAGCCGTAATTTTACGTGGATATGTCTGTTGTCTTCCCTGTCCTTCACTGAATATCAGTTTTTCATTTCGCACGGTCTCGTCATGATAATACGTTTTTTATAATCACGATACGATTGAATTGTTATATAAAACCAAAATTCCTAAATCAACATTCAACATTTTCATTCACAACGAAATAGTCACATACAAACCCTTGCGAATTTTAACACGGATCCTCTACAAATTTTATCTATTTCGTGCAATAATAACCAACTCACGGATCCCGCAAAATTGTAATTTATGTCTAAAAAAACCAGAGAATTTTCTCGCATTTTCTAAAAAAATCAAAACTCATTTAGAAAAATCCCGAATTTTCTAGGAGCTAAGTCCATTAAAATTTCCAGCGCTAAGTCTCTTAAAATTGTGATTTATTTCTAAAAAAACTGGAGAATTTTCTCGAATTTCTTAAAAAAATCTAAACTTTTCTAGAAAAATTTGAAATTTGCTAGAAAAATCTAGAATGATCTAGAATTACGATAGGTGGCGCCACTGCCGATAAGGAACCATAAGGACTTTTCTCCCCTAAATGCCCCCCCTAATGAAAACCCAGACACATCCACACCAAAATTTTATTTCCCAAATTCTTTGAGTGTCCATTTTACCCCGCATGTGTCATGATTTCAGGAGTGAGTAGCCCCTCGCCCCCTCGCACCTCATTTCTATATCACTAATAATAATTTTCATCGAATTGAATCGAATATAATCTCAACCTAGACCAACGACTCTAAATTACAGCTACATATTTGGTCTAATTATTTTGAACATTTGGCGACGAAATTCATTGTAAAAAAAAACATTAATAAACAATTTGCCTATTCGTCCCACTCGTTCCGAGTCAAAGCAAGCGACATGCAGTAAGCATTTTTTAAATTAAATATAGAATATATATATTCATTCAATTTTTATTAGTCACTGTGAGTGCCGAGTGCCAAGGGACTGGGCAGTTCAATTTTATTTTTTACTAACCATAATTTATATTTATAATTCAACGAACTAAACAGATTCCCTTGGCTTTATTTATCATTCCATAAACATTCCTCTTTCTGTGATTAAATTAAATTTTGAAAATATTTTAGATAGCCGGGAAAAATTTCTGCTACATAACTACAATTCGAGGCCCATTTTGCCCCGACTATGCCACTGGAGACGTTGGAAAAACCGTGTTTTCCATGTAAAAATGTACTTTAGAAATCAATGGGGCTAAATGGGCTGAGAACCAGAGTGTTTCATCAGAAAGATACCAGTGAAAAAAAAATCGAAATTAATTTTTTTTTCAAGATATCCTCACAATTCTCTCTCCACAAAAAAAATTATCAGAAAAATATTCTAAGTCATTAACCATCAACTTTCAATAATTAATTCAATAATTTAAACATATTTAATGAATCTACAAAATTAAAATGATTAAAATAATTAGAATAATCATTAAAATTGAAATTTTCTCTAATCACAGATTGAAAAATAAATTTTCAAGAAAAAAAAATCGTGATGCATTGAAACCTGCATCAATCGTATTACCACCTAGAAATAAATTAAGTACGACGATGGTACAACTACTGGCGCACGGCTGATTGAAGGTACGAGGAGGATCGAAAAAGAAAATTAAACAAAAAATAAAACCGCAAGTAATTATTTGAAAGCCCCGGCAATAACGAATAAAATAAACATTTATGCCCTTTATCGAAACCGCGCTAGTCAAGATTCTTGAAAATTTTTAATACTTTGTGTAATACTACCGACCAAATGCACGAAGGTCGACTTAGAAATGATTGGCCGATCCGCCAAGAGTCCACCACAAGTCAAAAATAAATAACGTGACTCAAAAAATCGCGCTAACTACGTTTTTATGGTTTTAACCGGCTAAGGGCCTGGAAAATATTGACTCGACACTCGAAATTGTGGGAAAAATTGTGAGAATTTAATTCGCACGGGGTTTCGAGTGTTTGAGAATCAAATTTTCGCAGGTTTTGCGCTAGAAATTTCACAAGGAGATAAACTAGGCTACGTGTGTGAGTGATGATGCATCTGGAGCTTGCGAGATGTACTTCTTCCACTGATCTTGATCTCGTCGGCGAGATCAACACCGTAGCTCGTTGATGTGTTATTCTCCTCTCCTGGAACGACAATTTAATTGTGGAATTAGAGACAAGAGTTGGTTTTAGACATTTTTTGAGGGACTAGAACAGGGGCGCGCATTATTGGCTAGTGATTTATATGTATTATTTTTAATAGATTTTTAATAGACATGTTTTCATAGCAGTAATCGTTATTTTGATTTATTTAAAAAATTTCAAAAATTTTGTATTTTTTGAAAATCAGAATTGCGGGGATATCTTTGAATATCATGCTTCAAGTGAATTTAATCGCAGCTTAAAATATTCGTTTTAGCGCAATTAAAGTAGCTCTACCCTTACGGTAAATTCAAAGGTTATTGAAAACTGCAAAATAAATTGCAGAAAACTCGATTAGATTTGGAATTCTAATTTTTTTTATCAATTTAATTATCGTTTTGGTTTTTCAAAGAAGAAATATTAAAAAATCAGGATTTAACCCAGCGTCTTATGTGAAAATGAACATTTCCATTGTAATCAAAGATTAAAATCTGAATTTTCTTTCATTAGATGTGAAAAAATCAAGAATTTTTTTGACACCTCATAAAAAATAATCCACCCTTTTGCAAACAAGTTTTATTATTTATTTATAAGAGGGAAATGTTTGAAAATGTTTGCTTCAAATGAATTCAATCGCAGCTTAAAATATTTGCTTTAGCGCAATTGAAGTAGCTCTACTCTTACGGTAAATTCAAAGATTATTGAAAACTGCAAAATAAATTGCAGAAAACTCGATTAGATTTGGAATTCTAATTTTTTCATCAATTTAATTATCGTTTTGGTTTTTCAAAGAAGAAATATTAAAAAATCAGGATTTAACCCAACGTCTTATGTGAAAATGAACATTTCCATTGTAATCAAAGATTAAAATCTGAATTTTCTTTCATTAGATGTGAAAAAATCAAGAATTTTTTTGACACCTCATAAAAAATAATCCACCCTTTTGCAAACAAGTTTTATTATTTATTTATAAGAGGGAAATGTTTGAAAATGTTTGCTTCAAATGAATTCAATCGCAGCTTAAAATATTTGCTTTAGCGCAATTGAAGTAGCTCTACTCTTACGGTAAATTCAAAGATTATTGAAAACTGCAAAATAAATTGCAGAAAACTCGATTAGATTTGGAATTCTAATTTTTTTTTCAATTTAATTATCGTTTTGGTTTTTCAAAGAAGAAATATTAAAAAATCAGGATTTAACCCAGCGTCTTATGTGAAAATGAACATTTCCATTGTAATCAAAGATTAAAATCTGAATTTTCTTTCATTAGATGTGAAAAAATCAAGAATTTTTTTGACACCTCATAAAAAATAATCCACCCTTTTGCAAACAAGTTTTATTATTTATTTATAAGAGGGAAATGTTTGAAAAAAATATCAATATTTTGCGAAATTTAATTTAGATAATACTAACTGGGTATGCATTTTTTCAAATTTTTTCTATGTAATTTAGTTGAAAAATTTAAAAACTGAAAATATCCAAAAGTACAGCGTAGCCCGTCCGAAGGGTAGAGCTACTTTAAGTCGAACTTAAAGGTGATTACGATAGCCATATTGGTTGATTTGATTTTTATAATGAGTGTTGATCATTTCGAATTTTTCATGAATTTCCCTGAAAGTGAGCTTTCTGATGGTTTCCTCAAATGTGACGTATCAAATTCATTCAAATGTGTGCAAATAAAATTTGTCTATTAACATTTTATCGAAATTCTGAGGGGAGAGATAGAACTTTAAAAAAGACAATCAGTTGTATAGAAGAAAGGGATAATAAGAATAATGGTGACGATGACATTCAACTAAGTTAAAAATCTGATAAAATTAGTTAAAAAGAAATCTCATTCAATTTAATAAAATGAAGGAAATCATGTGACCAAGAGTTAATGTTCAATTTTCAAATGAAAAATCTCGCGTTTCTTTTTATTTTCATTATCTCTCCACTCCCGGTATTAGTACAGGTATGGGAAGCGTCTCGTGAGATAAACCGTCTGCTCCGGACCCGCATAACACTAACACAAACATAGAACGAGGACTAGTTCTCAAGAACTAGGCGAGTCTCGTTTTAAACGTCAGCCACTATATTTATCTCACGACGCATACGAGATTCAGCGGTTTTTGCTACGTCAGTTCCCCTGAGTCCGGTGGAAACACTCGGGAGTGAGCTTGGAAGTCCAATTGTGGAGATCAATGAAAGTTTCTATTCATCTGTCGACTTCCCAACGTCGATTCCAGGGGCTCTAACAGTATTTTTTTCTCCTCTTAATTTTCGTATTTTCATGTTTATCGGAAGTATTTGTGGAGCTTGACGTGCGGAGATTTGAAAATCGTCGCGTTTGGGAGTCGACGGAATTTCCGGTTGAAAATACAAACTGATGATCAAATTTTCCCTTGAATGTCTGATAACATCTAATATTTTACATTCAATTTATATCCAGAAATGACAAAACTTCAGGCAAAATTAATAATTTTACTATTCATTTTTAGAAATTTTGGTTGTTTTAAGGAGAGACTACTATGAGTTTTAAAAGTCGTGGGTTATTGGAGTGAGACTTTTCATACGCTGAAGATCGATTATATAGATATGAAAACGAATAATTAGTGCAAAAAAAAATTTTTTTATTGTTCGTTTGCCCGAAAACGCTTAAAATGCCAAAAACAGTCCAGAGCCTCCAATTTTTGAGCTACAAAGGATTTTTTTTTTCAAAATTTTCGGAAAAATATGTAGAATAACAATTACGAGCTAGTTTTTTTTAATTCGCCTCTTACATGGCTAAATTTGCTTTCTTTGTATTTTTTTACACAAATAGTGAAGTTTTTAATATGGAAAAAACCGAAATCAGCTGTGTAAGAGTCGAATTTCAAAAAACTGGCTCGTAATTGTTGTTCCACACATTTTCACGAAAATTAAAAAAAAAAAAAATCTTTTGTAACTCAAAAATTGGAGGCCCTGGTGCAATTAGTGCAAAAAAAAATTTTTTTATTGTTCGTTTGCCCGAAAACGCTTAAAATGCCAAAAACAGTCCAGGGCCTCCAATTTTTGAGCTACAAAGGATTTTTTTTTTTTTAATTTTCGGAAAAATGTGTGGAACAACAATTACGGGCTAGTTTTTTTAAATTCGCCTCTTAGATGACTAAATTTGCTTTCTTTGTATTTTTTTACACAAATAGTGAACTTTTTAATATGAAAAAAACCGAAATCAGCTGTGTAAGAGTCGAATTTCAAAAAACTGGCTCGTAATTGTTGTTCCACACATTTTTCCGAAAATTTTGAAAACAAAATCTTTTGTTGCTCAAAAATTGGTGACCTTGGACTGTTTTTAGCATTTTAAGCGTTTTCGGACAAACGAACAATGAAAATTTTTTTTTGCACTAATTATTCGTTTTCAAATCTATATAATCGCTCTTCAACGTATGAAAAGTCTCACTCCAATAACCCACGACTTTTGAAACTCACAGTAGTCTCCCCTTAATGAAATAATTTCTACATTGAGGAAGAAAAAATGTTCTTGAACAAATGTTGTTCGAACCGAAAAAAAATTATTATAACATTATTATTTTAACAAGAGCAATTTCCCACTTTCTATTTCGATCTTCATTTTGAGGAAAAAATATAAAAAAATATGTGACCAATTTTTTTATATTTTTTTCCTCAATTCATCTCCTTATATTCATCTTTATAAAATTCTCGACATTAAGTCCTCTTTCTACTCAACTTCATTGATTAAATTGTAAGAAGAAAAAAGAAAGAAGAAGAATTAACTCTTGATGTTTATCGGCGTTCAATCTTCACTATTACATCATTAAAAGACGATCAAATTATAATGACACGATAATAAATTATTCAGATTGGAAGCGGAGGGTGTGCCCGCCCCCAGATGTACGATAAACTGTGAGGCAACTTCATATTTTACATTTTTAATTCTGAGAATCAAAAAGAGAAGTTGAAGAAGCGAGAACGCCGTGTTTGAAGTGTGAGGACCTCGCTCTCACGTGTGAAGCGAATTTTAGTATCCCTCCAAATGATGAAGCACGCGATGAAGCGGCTGTTTCTTATTCCAATTCGCATAAATCTTGATTAATGTACGATTATATCCTCATAAAATTCAGCTGCAACATTTATTAAATCCCCTGCTATTAATAATAAAAAACATTTTCGTTGTGACTAAGATGAACGATGAAAATTTAATCACGAGAACAATGTTTATTTTTTCATTAATCTTGAAGAGAAAAAACTTGACTCATGACAGTTTCATTTTGGATATTTCCTCCTACACTGACAGAATGATTCATTTATTCCAAACGAGATTCATTAACTATTCACGAATGGTAGAGTTGAATATGACCAAATGAATATTCGTTAATAGTTAACGAATGGTTCACTTGAATGGCGAAAGTCAAGTCAAACACGGCTCCTCAAATATACATTCGTTAACTATTAACGAATGAACATTTGGTGGGACCGAATAGACCCTAATCTCCAACCAAAATCCATTCGTTAAAATAACAAATCCGTTCTATCAGTGTAGCTTTTTGGTACCTCGCAGCAGCTCTTCATTTTGTTTACATTTTATTTTAGTCGGGCATGTGTTCGGGATTTTTTCACCTGCATAAACTTAAATACACTCATTTGTTTGCGACGAAGGTGTCGGGAAATACCCGATAATTTTGGAGCTCTTAGGGTATTGCTACTGATTATTTTCCCCAATCGGATTTCGACCAATCAGAAAGATTGATTCGCAGTATTTGAGGCTACCCGACAGTTTAATTTCGAATATTTCCCCCTAGCTTTTCAATATTTCGCAGTAGTTCTTCAATTTTTTAATCTGATTATTTTTGGTAATCGGATCTGGCCTTCCCTGGGCCAATCAGAGTTCAGTATTCAATAACATGAAGTACTTCCCAATTAAAATTACAGCGGTTATTTCCCCCTAGCTTTTGATTATTTCCCTGTAGATTTTGATAATTTCCCTCCAGCTCTGCAATTGTTTCTCTAACCAAATAACTGTCAAATATTATCCTGTGGAGTGAAAGAAAGTCATGAAGAAAGTCAAAATGAGTCGGTTTGGGAAGGATCCGATTACCAAAAATAATCCGTCGAATACCACTCGACCTCCAAAATTAATCGGACAGTTCCCTCATGTTTTCCTGCGTATCAACGATCGGGAGAAGTTTTGCACAAAAATCCCTCGCGCTGAGCACTCGGGATTTTAATCGGCAAAACTTCTCCCTCTCATTGCTACGCAACAAAACAATCGGGAAATATCCGATAATTTTGGAGGTCTCGTGGTATTACTACTGATTATTTTTCCAACCCAAATATCGGGCAATATAATTGGCCCCTTCGACATCACGTGGTACAAGCTACAGGGTTTTCAACTGATAATTTTTTGATAATTTTTTCTGGTAGTTGCTATATAGAAAACAAAACATCATGCAGTCGAATTAACCCCTCGTCAAACTGACAGATTGAATTCAATTGTGGTAATCCGAGGATTTTTATTCGAAATGAGTGTTAATTATCCAATTTTCGTTTCTCAATTGTGAGTTTCGTCTCATGGTCCAATTATATTGCCCAACATTTGAATTGGAAAAATAATCCCCCGAATACCACACGAGCTTCAAAATTAATCGAGCATTTTCCTCAAGGTTCTCTGCATACAAACGAAGTCGTCAATTTTTCAGGAAAAATCACTCGTGCTTCGCACTCGAAATTTTTTAACCTGAAAAACTTGACTCCTTCGTTTGTTTGCAACGAGCCTATCGGAAAATACCCGATAATTTTGAAGCTCTTGTGGTATTACAAGTGAATATTTCGCAGTAGCTCTTCATTTTTTCGGCTCATTTCAGACAGAATCTTATATTTGACAGTCTATGGAAATCGGCTTATTCTATTAACATAATTTGTTTAAATCTTCCCCAATTCACCTCCTGATGTTGTCCACTGCACTCTGCTTGGCCAAAATCCGATTGGGAAAAATAATCCGACAAATACCCCTCGAGATTCAAAATTAATCGGGTATTTCCCTCAAGCTCCCCTGCAAACAAACCGTCGTGCCAAGTTTTGCAGAAAATTTCACACCCTCATTTGTTTGCAACGAAGCTATCAGGAAATACCCGATAATTTTGAAGCTCTTGGGGTACTACGACGACTTCAAGTGAATCGCGATATGATTTTATGACTGCAATGGACTTCGAATGATTTCATAGATTCGACATTAGTGATTTCAGAGGCCTGAAGTAAATGAAATCACTATGAATAAAGTTCGCGGCATTCTCTTACAACACATTCATTAATTTTAAATGACTTCGGCATGATTTCAAGAATTCAGCGTTTTTGGAAATGATTTCAGTGAGTGGCCCCTCGGGTTCATTCATAAGTTCATCAAAAGTTCATCGTTCAGATACTCCTGAACGCGTTGGTCAATTCTCTGTTAAAATGTCTCTTGAAATGTTTTTTTGTTAATTTTTAATTAATCAATGTGAGGATAATTAAGTAAAATTTACCGTAAAACGATGCATCATGGGAATCACATGGTCCAGCGTGTCGTGTTTCCAGGACGAAACCCGTGACGCATGCATCCTTGACGATGTGACACCAACTTGGATAGGTGATGTTATTTGTTGCGCACAGCAGTGAATTATTCGGCGAATCACGATCCCAGTCTCTTTCGCGGTGTCTGTCTCGTTTGCGTTCGCGGATTCTCTCGCGTTTCCGGGGACATCTGTAGGTACATGTGACACACCGTGGACGTCCCGAGTTCATCTCTGTCAGACAGGTTTGGCCCTCGCGACAACGTATTGTTGTGCAATCTGCGTTTGCTGAAAAAGTAAATTCAGAGGATGAACCCACAGTACGCAGGAAATTCTGTACACTGTTAAAAAAATTTGTCTGACTTTTCCGTGCCAAATGCCGGAAATTTTCATCGTGTTTCAATTCCACTGAAATTTCAGGAAATCTTGTCATTGGAAATTCAGAATTTCGTGGAAAAATCAAACAGAACTGTAAATTTCCGGTCTTTTTTTTCGAAAAAGTAACTTTTTCATGATGAAAAATATCGTTCGATACTCGTGGGAAATGTGTTTTTTGGCTCGTGGGAGGTTTATAGCACGGCCCGAAGGCGAGTGATATGATCCCACGAGAAAAAACTCTTTTCCGCACTCGTAACGAAATGTATTATTACAGCTCTCAAGAATGGTCCGATTGCCTTAATCTTCAGAGAAAAATTTGTAGCAAGAATTCTGTTGCTCCCAGAGAATCTTTTCTTCTATGAGTGAATTAGAAACATTTTTTCACATGAAATTAAGTCTCAATTCAATATCTAGTTCATTCGAGCGAATTTATCAATTTAATCCAATAAAAGAAATTTTCCTCTCATTCCGAATCAGTTCAACGCACGATAGAAGACCTCCACGTGGTCATTGACACACATGAGGATGTCACTGTGTCAAGGACTTGAGAAATAACCATAAAGAGGGGGTGCGAGGGGGTTCTCACTGTAACTCAGGTTATTCCCCCCATTTCCGTCAACACAGCCGTCATCCCACATCGAATTACGCACCCAACTATAATAGTCTTATTTAACCGACTCTCAGGCCATTGAAAAAAATCATAAGAAGTGAGCAGAGTTCACTGAACCCTCTACCCTGCCGTCAAAATATAAATATGTCCCACCACGTGTCAATTATAATTTTCGTTTGGACGTTTAGAATCAAAATGAATTCAATTCAGTTGGTCATCTATTTTGATTGTCGAAAATAAGCAGAACTCTGGGTGCTAATTGAAAACATCCTCTGGTGTATTTTCTTCTCAGTAGTTTAGTCAACTAGTGAGGAAATTTAATTTGTAAATTATTCAATTATTGTGTGGACTTGGGAAATCAGTGCAACAACATTCAGAGAAAATACCAATGCCGAGGCTAACAGTCATGGGTAAATATCAGGCATTTTTTCCAATTAAATGAACTTAAAAATTACTCTTGCCACAATCTTTTATAGTTTGAAAAAAAAAANCTACGACGACTTCAAGTGAATCGCGATATGATTTTATGACTGCAATGGAATTCGAATGATTTCATAGATTCGACATTAGTGATTTCAGAGGCCTGAAGTAAATGAAATCACTATGAATAAAGTTCGCGGCATTCTCTTACAACACATTCATTAATTTTAAATGACTTCGGCATGATTTCAAGAATTCAGCGTTTTTGGAAATGATTTCAGTGAGTGGCCCCTCGGGTTCATTCATAAGTTCATCAAAAGTTCATCGTTCAGATACTCCTGAACGCGTTGGTCAATTCTCTGTTAAAATGTCTCTTGAAATGTTTTTTTGTTAATTTTTAATTAATCAATGTGAGGATAATTAAGTAAAATTTACCGTAAAACGATGCATCATGGGAATCACATGGTCCAGCGTGTCGTGTTTCCAGGACGAAACCCGTGACGCATGCATCCTTGACGATGTGACACCAACTTGGATAGGTGATGTTATTTGTTGCGCACAGCAGTGAATTATTCGGCGAATCACGATCCCAGTCTCTTTCGCGGTGTCTGTCTCGTTTGCGTTCGCGGATTCTCTCGCGTTTCCGGGGACATCTGTAGGTACATGTGACACACCGTGGACGTCCCGAGTTCATCTCTGTCAGACAGGTTTGGCCCTCGCGACAACGTATTGTTGTGCAATCTGCGTTTGCTGAAAAAGTAAATTCAGAGGATGAACCCACAGTACGCAGGAAATTCTGTACACTGTTAAAAAAATTTGTCTGACTTTTCCGTGCCAAATGCCGGAAATTTTCATCGTGTTTCAATTCCACTGAAATTTCAGGAAATCTTGTCATTGGAAATTCAGAATTTCGTGGAAAAATCAAACAGAACTGTAAATTTCCGGTCTTTTTTTTCGAAAAAGTAACTTTTTCATGATGAAAAATATCGTTCGATACTCGTGGGAAATGTGTTTTTTGGCTCGTGGGAGGTTTATAGCACGGCCCGAAGGCGAGTGATATGATCCCACGAGAAAAAACTCTTTTCCGCACTCGTAACGAAATGTATTATTACAGCTCTCAAGAATGGTCCGATTGCCTTAATCTTCAGAGAAAAATTTGTAGCAAGAATTCTGTTGCTCCCAGAGAATCTTTTCTTCTATGAGTGAATTAGAAACATTTTTTCACATGAAATTAAGTCTCAATTCAATATCTAGTTCATTCGAGCGAATTTATCAATTTAATCCAATAAAAGAAATTTTCCTCTCATTCCGAATCAGTTCAACGCACGATAGAAGACCTCCACGTGGTCATTGACACACATGAGGATGTCACTGTGTCAAGGACTTGAGAAATAACCATAAAGAGGGGGTGCGAGGGGGTTCTCACTGTAACTCAGGTTATTCCCCCCATTTCCGTCAACACAGCCGTCATCCCACATCGAATTACGCACCCAACTATAATAGTCTTATTTAACCGACTCTCAGGCCATTGAAAAAAATCATAAGAAGTGAGCAGAGTTCACTGAACCCTCTACCCTGCCGTCAAAATATAAATATGTCCCACCACGTGTCAATTATAATTTTCGTTTGGACGTTTAGAATCAAAATGAATTCAATTCAGTTGGTCATCTATTTTGATTGTCGAAAATAAGCAGAACTCTGGGTGCTAATTGAAAACATCCTCTGGTGTATTTTCTTCTCAGTAGTTTAGTCAACTAGTGAGGAAATTTAATTTGTAAATTATTCAATTATTGTGTGGACTTGGGAAATCAGTGCAACAACATTCAGAGAAAATACCAATGCCGAGGCTAACAGTCATGGGTAAATATCAGGCATTTTTTCCAATTAAATGAACTTAAAAATTACTCTTGCCACAATCTTTTATAGTTTGAAAAAAAAAAAATCTCTGTAGCTGAAAAATTGGAGGCCCTGGACTATTATTATTATTATTATTATTATTATTATTATTATTATTATTATTAGTAATACCCCAAGAGCTTCAAAATTGTCGGGTATTTTCCCGATAGCTTAGTTGCAAACAAATGAGGGTGTGTCAAGTTTTGCAGGTTAAAAAATCCCGAGCGCTTGCGCGACGGATTTTTCTGCAAAACTTGGCACGATGGTTTGTTTGCAGGGGAGCTTCAGGGAAATACCCGATTAATTTTGAATCTCGAGGGGTATTTGTCGGATTATTTTTCCCAATCAGATTTTGGCCAAGCAGAGTGCAGTGGACAACATCAAAAGGTGAATTGGGGAAGATTTGAGCAAATTATGTTAATAGTATAACCCGATTTCTATAGACTGTCAAATATAAGATTCTGTCTGAAATGAACGGAAAAAATGAAGAGCTACTGCGAAATATTCAAAAGGTAGGAGGAAATATCCGAAATTAAACTGCCGGGTAGCCTCAAATACTGCGCTCTGATTGGTCGAAATCCGATTGGGAAAAATAATCATTATAATTTTTTTTTGCATCAATTATTCCTTTTCGGGCATATATAATCGATCTTCAATGTATGAGGAGTCGGATTCTAATAGCCCACGACTTTTAAAACTCATAGTACACGTATGAAAAAGTTGTATAGAAATTCTGTAATTTCCGTATATGATATTCGGATATTTCTATACGAATATTTTCTATATGAATTATTTCTATACATAAATTTTGGTTTTCATACGAAAGATGTCTAAACGCTCCAGAGAAAAACGTAGAGAAATGTCGCAACCCCATACGAAATGTTTCTACACTGATAGAACGGATTAGTTATTGTTGACGAATGGATTTTGGTTGGAGGTTAGGGTCTATTCGGTCCCACAAAATGTTCATTCGTTAATAGTTATCGAATGTATATTTGAGGAGCTGTGTTTGACTTGACTTTCGCCATTCAAGTGAACCATTCGTTAACTGTTAACGAATATTCATTTGGTCATATTCAACTCTACCATTCGTTAATAGTTAACGAATCTCGTTTGGAATAAATGAATCATTATCTATCAGTGTATACATGTGGCATTGTGTCGTATAGGATCAAACCTATAGAAATCGTATCGAAATAATTTGTGTAAAAAATATCCGTATGGAAATTCTATACGCACGGAGAGAAATTTTCTACAAAAATTCTAGTATGATTACTGGAAAAAATCACAATCTACCAGCTGTGAAAAATTCTAGTGCTGTTAAGGTAAAATTTCTTGGTATTTCTGGTAAAATTTCTGGGGATTTTTGTGAAATTTTCACAGGCATACTGGAAAAAATTCACGTTTTCCCAATAAAATTTCCCGTGCTAGCACTAGAATTTGTCTAAAAAATTTCTCTCCGTGCGCAATCCATATAGAAAATTTCTATACGATTTTTTAATACGTGAGTCTCCCCTTACTCTTCAAAATTTAGTGTATGTTTAACCTAGCCTACCGCATACAATTTTTTTTCAGTGGTAAATTCTAAAATCAACATTTCCCGCTTCACAGGAGCGCACAACGCTCCCATACACCTTATCAGTGTTAATTATCAACCTCAGTAAATCAGCAAATATCAACTTGCCCCTGAAACGGTACCTTGACTCTGCACTGGAGCCAAAACCCAAATAAAAATCGTATCATTTCCATATAATTCAGGACTCAAATGTCAATGCCAATTAAAGCGCCACACAGAGCCTATCCTTCGCCTAATTATCCTTCTAGAGGACGGACACATCTATTATGTATGTACAAACTAATTGAATGGACTGGAAAAATATCGTACAAACAACATCTAAGGCCTTTTGTTTATCCATTCAGCCTGCTCGCCATATACTTTTTCATTTTAATTAAATCCATTCGTTACTTTGTGCATGCGATTAGGCACATGCAGAATAAATAAACAGAATTTATTTACTCATCCTTTTTTTATCCCATGTGATTACCGATACGATAAAATACGATAACGGAACCACGCACCAGCGCCTTATTCAGCGCACACATGTACATAATGGGGGATAGAATAGGCTGGCGGTGAAGGGGGGGAGGGGGCAGTTGTGTTTTGTGCGCAGTCTGCTGAAATCAAAGGAGCGTGATGGTCTCTAGAACCGCGGTATGCGATAATTGGTTATATACTCTAGGCATTGACTGCATACCCATGTCACATTTCACCTTCGTCCGCACCCAGTATGAATCATTGGGGTTAATGTATGCTTCTTGTTGGGGTTTTACAAATTCATGGAAATTATTTCGTTATTACTGTTTGCGTTAGTTTTTGCGTTAGTTTTTGGATTTTTCGGGCTGTCTAGAGATGCAAAGTGACCGTCATTTTTTAGATCGCGTCATATGACCAAAAAATGACGGTCTTGTGACGGTCATGTGACGCACAAATTTTTTAACTACAAATCAGTAGCGAAGCGGTAAACCGGTTTAAGTCGATTTAGACTATTGGTCAGTTTTTAATGAATATCTCGGAACCTAAGGAACATGGAAATTTTTTTGTAATAGCGTTTTTTGTAGCTCTCAATTCGCTCTGCAAAAAAGGTTATAACGAAAATTTCGCTATTTCTCTTGAATTCGGAGATATTCCTCGAAAACTCAGCGAAGAGCTAAGTCGACTTAAACCGGTTTACCGCTTCGCTACTGAAATGATTGTCACAAATCATTTGTAACCAAATTGTTGTCAAACCATTTATATAGTTGCATAATAACGGTCATAACTAATTTCCAATTTGTAACGGTCATAAATAACACAAAATAGTTTCATCTATATGGATGGAAAAAAACGTGATTTCCATTTCAAAATGCGGATTAGGCCAATACAAAAGGAATTCAACTGAAAATTGACCGAGAAGAAAATAAAGTTTCATCTATATAGATGAAAAATGACTGTCATTTTTTCTTGACAAGTTGTGACGGTCACGGAAGGGGGAGGGGGAATTGTGACAGCCGTCATGAACGCCTCGTCATGTGACCATCAATGACGGTCACATGACCGTCATATGACGGGTCATGTGACGCATTTGCATCTCTAGCTGTGTCAAGAGTGAACAGGTCAATCGCTGGACGGTTAACCTTTAAGGTAGCTCTACCCTTACAGAAAATTCAAAGATTATTGAAAACTGCAAAAAATTGCAGAAAACTCAATTAGATTCGGAATTGCAATTTTTTTCTCAATTTAATTAGCATTTTGATTTTTCAAAGAAATGTTTAAAAATCAGGATTTAACCCAGTGTCTTATGTGAAGGGGGGAATTGTGACAGCCGTCATAAACGCCTCGTCATGTGACCGTCATTGACGGGTCATGTGACGCATTTGCATCTCTAGCTGTGTCAAGAGTGAACAGGTCAATCGCTGGACGGTTAACCTTTAAGGTAGCTCTACCCTTACAGAAAATTCAAAGATTATTGAAAACTGCAAAAAATTGCAGAAAACTCAATTAGATTCGGAATTGCAATTTTTTTCTCAATTTAATTAGCATTTTGATTTTTCAAAGAAATGTTTAAAAATCAGGATTTAACCCAGTGTCTTATGTGAAGGGGGGAATTGTGACAGCCGTCATAAACGCCTCGTCATGTGACCGTCATTGACGGGTCATGTGACGCATTTGCATCTCTAGCTGTGTCAAGAGTGAACAGGTCAATCGCTGGACGGTTAACCTTTAAGGTAGCTCTACCCTTACAGAAAATTCAAAGATTATTGAAAACTGCAAAAAATTGCAGAAAACTCAATTAGATTCGGAATTGTAATTTTTT